CCACTACTGTATTTAGATCTAGTCTAATGTTTACCAGGTATAGTACCCAATTACCTATGAAAAATATATATTTTTTTAGAACAACATAAGTTGTAGGATGAAAATTGGTGAGATGATGTCTATCGGAAGCCTTTAAATGAAGGGATAATAATTAGAAAGTGTTTCTATTTTGTTTAGCCTACACAGTACATTTTACAAAACCTAGTACAGTATAGTCCCGCAAACTCGGCGTAATGTGGAGTAGAAGGGTGCCAAGTTTGTGAAATACCGGGTTATCGGGAACTAGGGTTAAAAATAAGAACAATACAATTTTAAAGCTTTCTAACCGCCTTTTTTATTTATATTTATTAACTTAAGTCATCAGATATAGTACAACAAATCCTTGGTACGAGTTGTGAATGATTTGACTTGAGGTGGCTTGAGTCCATGTTTAACTCGGACTCAAAAAATCACTAATTATCTGAGCCAGGTGATGGCCGAGCTATCCAGACTGCCGGAAAATTATACAGAAAATCCATTTCTCCTATTTGTTTTGATTTTCTGTTTACATTTCGTTGTTATTTTGTCATCAGCATAGCAACCCATAAGGCCGATGTAAACTTTTGTCAAATTGCGAATTAATTTGTTGTGCTTATTTTTTAGCCTGTTTTAATTTTTAAAGGGATTCCGCACTTCTGCAGGGAAATATCTTTCTAACAGTATGCATAGATTTCGCCTGTGATGGACACGAGGTGACAAAAATGTTTTAAAAGAGGTTTGCTTGCCTTAAAAGGGTTTAGGCCTACATCACTAATTTTCCATAGAAAATTCTATGTACAAGGAGAGAAAGTGATTTTAAGTCAATTAACTCACATAATGAGTCACTGACAGGTTGGCAACAAAAGCTATTATCCTTGACATGAATAGCAACTACACAGCTACTGTTGGTCTGGTGCATAACTTTGAAATATTATTCAATGAATACCTTTGCGATCGTTTACTAAACCTCAACTAATATTAGTTTATTTACAGTTTTGTTTAATTGATTTGATTAAATTGGATCTAAATATCTTTATGCCAACTAATTTAAAAATATTAGATCCGATATATATTAAAGCTCGCCAGGTAATCAACAGGTCACCAGTTTGATCCTGTAAGAAACTCAGTAGCTTTTTGATATTCCAATCTGGCTGGCATTGATGGCTAAAGCAACAGCAGATCTTTGGCTGCGTTTACATTGGAAGCACGCTTGGGCAAGTTAAATGGTGGTTAAATGGCAGTTGCCGATGGTGTGGTTATACTAGAGCAGAGCAACCAAGAACAAGTGGTCGCCCCCGCTACGATCAGTAGGACTACATCATAGATCAGTCAAAATTGAGATGTCAGATGATGCGGACATTGTGCTTGAAAATGGAGTTAAATTTGTATTATTAGACTCCGAACGTGTTGGGGGGAACGGAAAACTTTAGGAGTCAATGTAATGTTTGTATAATTAATTATTTTATAAAAAAAAAACATAACTATACCGACTAAAACAGTATAATTTTAATAAGCCTAGAGGAACTTAATATTTTTTATCATAGCATTACTACAGGTCTATTTTGATTGAAAAATAGAATTCAATATATTTTGATTAACAAGTTAAAATTCATTTGCAAATAGCGTACAGCAATGATAATGCTGTAACTATATAAAAAAGTTATAAAAAATAACTGTTTCAATCAACGCCTCGGTATCCATTTTGAACAATTAAACAACTTATAACAACACTTAAATATAAAAAAAAAACAATAGTTTTCAGATACACAACCTATGCTTCTTTGTCAGTGAACCTCAACAAACTGAGGCACGCTTGCTTAAAAACAAATTTATTTGTTTCGTGATTTGAGAAGCGCAAGCTTGTCCCAGAGTGCGCTTGCTAGTGGCGAGCACTGTAACCATGACTGGTCAAGTCGCCACCGGTTTCCAGTAATCTGCTACAATTTTGTTTCAAAGGGCAAGCTTGGCCAAGCGTGCGCCACCATATTACTTGCCCAAGCGTGCCTCCAATGTAAACGCAGCCTTAGGACTAACAAGGGTATTAATGAATCTCTTCTTATTATTTTTGCCTCCTTCGTTCCCTTTTGGGGTTAAGACAGCATAGCTGCATCCCTATCTTCATAGGTTATAATACAGGGTGAATTTTAAATGAGTTCCCCCCCTACTTTTTTCTACATTTCTTAAGGTATCAACTTCGGACCACGTCAGATCATTGTAGTGTAGTAAGTACTTCATTTTGACTGGATAAACATTTTTGGCCGCCATCTTGGATCCGCCATATTGGATACAAAATTTTTTTTCAAATGTAAAGGTAGGGTTGTGACCCATTGTTTCAAACTAGAATTTTACGCTGATTACAATGCCGCAATTAGTTTAAAAAAATCTTAATCCGTTCTAAAGTTATGAGGACTTTTTATAACTTTATTTTTAGCCCATTTTAACATTGTGCATTTACAAACTTAGGCCATAATCTCAAAATAGTGCTAGATAAAGATAAGTATACACCACCATTTATTGTCGACCTATTATCACTTGGTTATGACGGATGTATTTTTTTGGCCGCCATCTTGGATCTGCCATTTTGAAATGTGGTAAATTAATTTAAATATGAAGGTGGTGTTGTGACCCATCATTTCAGACTACTTTTTTATGCTGAATTCAATGCCGCAATCCGTTTTTGTTTCTCAGACTTTCTTGATGAAATATTAAAATTATCTTACTTAAATTTCCAATATTTCAAAAAACAAATATGAAAATGCAAAACGGATTGCGGCATTAAATTCAAGTTGAAGAAATGTAGAAAAAAGTAGGGGGGGAACTCATTTAAAATTCACCCTGTATAGTAATCAATATAATACAGTAGGGCTATAAATAAACACAAGTACTCTTTAGTTGTATACAGACAGGGTGGCTGAAAAGTAACTTGCACCCCACCTTAACTTTTAAACCTTTTGAGATATTTGAAATTGGTTTAAGGCAACCTTCTTAGAAATGAGGGGCTACAATAATTATGGCTAATTTTGAAAATTTTGCTCCTAGTGGTGGTAGGGGGTAGTTTAAAATGTTCAAATGGCAAGTATAGTCGAGTTTGGTATAATCATTGACTATTGGATACAGAAGTTGTATTTATAGTCAAAGATGTAATCTTACAGGTCTTGACAAAACTAAACAATTGACGTAAAGAGAACCAAAATCAGACCACTCATCACAAAATGGCACCCTAAAACGTTTCAAATCCAAATAACCATGAGGGTGGCTGAAGATTAACTTGCACCCCCTTAACTTTTTAACTATTTGAGATATTTGAAATCGGTTTGCGGCAACCTGTTTAGACACAAGGGACTAAAATAATGATGGTTAATTTTGAAAATTTTTCCCTTCAGCTAAGCTCAAAAATTTCAAATAGGAAGTATGGTCGAGTTTGGTATCATTTTCCAGGTCTTAACAATACTAAACAATTAACACAAAGAAAATAGAAATCGGACCACTAATAACCAAATGGCAGTAAAAAAATACTTTTAATAACCATTGTCCTAATCATTTTTAGCTGCCATTTTGTTATTAGTTGTCTGATTTCTATTTTATTTACGTTTATTGTTTAGTTTTGTCAAGACCTTTAAAAGGATACCAAACTCCATACTTTCTATTTGACAATTTTGAGCTAACCCTCCCCTTCCCCCCACCCACACTAACCCTAAGGGCAAAAGTTTCCAAATTAACCATCATTATTGTGGCCTCTCATATCCAAACAGGTTGCTGCAAACCGATTTAAAATATCTCAAAATGTTATAAAGTTAAGGGTGGTGCAAGTTAATTTTCAGCCACCCTCATGGTTATTTGGATTTGAAACGTTTTAGGGTGCCATTTTGTTATTGGAGGTCCGATTTTGATTTTATTTATGCCAATGTTTGGTTTTGTCAAGATGTGCAAAATGATACCAAACTTGACTATACTTGCCATTTGAAAACTTTGAGCTACCCCCCCTACCCTTGCAACATTTTCAAAATAACTATAATTATTGTAGATCCTCATTTCTAAGAAGGTTGCCGCACACAGATTTCAAATATCTCAAATGGTTGAAAAGTTAAGGGGGGGAGGTGCAAGTTACTTTTCAGCCACCCAGTATATCCTACTCATTGTTAACATTTTCCCTATAGTAAGAAAGCTTTATATGAATAACAAACTACGAGATACATTAAACAGTCAAAAATCCGAACCAATTGGGACCAGACAGTGTTCAGACTATCTATTTGTTCAGATTTTCAAACTTATCTTTGAAATACTGACTAGGGCTCTGCACTTACGCATATGATCTATTGAAATGCTTAAATCAAAAGGGGAAAAAACACATATTACATTCAGAAAAAGTCCAGCCACTGAAACCTTATTTAAAAAACAGCCGATTTTTGGCTCCTTCAGGTTAGTGACTTGTTTTATGACAACCAAATCCTTGATACAAAATCTAAAATTCCAAAGTTGTCAATAGGCGTTTTTATTTTACCATCTACTATTAATCCAAAGAGTTGAATAGATGAGTAATACCATAGACTAACCAACACAAGTAGACTTGTCATCCCATTGTAAATTTTGACGCACGTTTTTCGAGTCTAGTTCATGTACGGTGACACTGGGTGCTAGTGTCGACAACATTTTGTTTCTATTATTTTAGGGTTAATTTCTTGATTTGTGCTTCACTGTTTGCTTATATAACTAGGAGACAAGTTATTGTTTATGATTGGATTGTATTATTTGGTTAAATGAGGTTTTAAATGACTGTAATAACGGGAAACAAATTGTAAACAAAACACGACCTCTACATAAACCGTACAGAACTAACAATAAAATTGTCTTCAGCTGTTCCATAAGGATGAGAAATCTACTTGGGGGAGTATGTTTTATCTATGGTAATACCAATGGTTATACGGTACTGTGTTCATGATAGAAATGTTAGTGTGCTAATCATATCGCCACTCTTGTTGCAGAAGACAGCGTTACCCATATGCAGCGAGTGCCTGGGGACAGCAGACAAGAACCGCGCTGGGGAGGCAGAGGCGCTCAGTTGTTGCGCCAGCTGCGGAGTCGGCGTCCACCTCAGCTGTGTGCCTCAGTCCAAAGACCCCAGCCTGGCACCACTATTGTCCACGTGGTATTGTGAGGACTGTCGTCTGTGCGCTGCCTGTAGTCAGTCCCTAGAACAGGTACATTTTAACTAGATAACAGAGTGTTTTTGTTGTTGTCATTAATAGTAAACATTTTTCGTCTTCTGGTTAGGAGGTTTCTAAATGTGAGGAGAAAAAACAGTAGTGAGGATAAAACACAGTGTAAAGCGAGAATTGTTAGAAATAAGTTTATTACACTAAAGAGATTGATGAAATCATAATAAGAAATGTAAATTAAACCTTGAGAACAGAATTAGATGACATCTCCAACCTTACTGTTATAAGTTGTATAAAATATGGTCCAATGGTATGTGAGGAGTCTGCAGTGAATCCTTAAATAAATCAAAACCCAAAATCAATAAAAAATTTAAACATTGAGTACAGTTATAATATAAATTCATAAAAAATATCAGTGGTTCATATCAATATTACCCACTGCAACGTGTGACATAATAGGTATTCTATGTAACCATGAATACGGGTTGTGTACAGCTACAGGATATCTCTGATCACCTGCAAATGTCATTAATATTTCATTGGGGTCCCAGATGTCCCTGAAACCCCCAGAATTTTGTAATAAATGTATCTATGTTTTATATAATTTATTGGAACTGTTTTAATTCTTTTACCAAGGAAATAATAAATTATTTAAGCCATGACATTTTAAGTTGATCATTTTAAACTTTTCTTGTCTTGAGTTTAATCATGATAATTAAAGTTGGAGGTATCTGGAAGCCTTGTTGTCATCTTAATTTAATTTAAATAATAACTGTGTAAAGCCAACAAACTAATGCTTTAGAATTGGTTAGTTGATAAAAATATGTGCCTTGTATGTAGCAAATATTTTATTTTCATGATGGGTTAGCCCCTGGATCAAGATAATGCAAATATAATAGGTTTAATTTACCTGTTGCGTCGATTGATCCTAAAGCTATAAAGTAACTACGGCCGTTTCTTGCTGCTAAGCGAGCACATCTTCAGGTTGTAGGAACGTTAAAATACGGTCTTCTCATCCGTGGATGGAGTTGTCAGCACATTTAGGACACATAACACGAAACACGTACGACAGTATTTACAATTAAAAAACTTGGCCAAGTAGTCCGAACACGAGTTGCGTAACTGGCAGATGATTCATGACATGTCATGAAGGTAAATTTAACCTTTTATATTTTTATTTTATTTGACTTAAGAGACAAAAGTAAACATAACAAAATTCGCTTCTGTAGCATAATTTATATGTATTTTACTCATAAATAGTTTGGTAAGAATCCCTCAAAATCCCTAAAAGCCCAACTGGTTTTGGTATGGTAGATGTTGCAGACACCATGTAATTATAATGAAAATTAAACCTGAGGCACTTGAAATGATAATGTGTAATAAATAAAGCTTATTGGATAAAAATTCAATTGCCATTGTAATAACAAACGTTGTTGACAGACGTGTCTGGTGCCATGTGCGACGTGTGAGAGAGTCTATCACACAGGCTGTCTGCAACCTCCTCCTGAGCGCAAGCCCAAGTCATCTTGGAGATGCACGTATTGTCTGGAGCCTCATGACAAGCCGCCGCCTCCCCCTCCCCCGGCTCACGAACCTTCGCCTCCTGCCAATACACCAAACTCTTCACACAAGACCCCTAAACGCAATAAGGAGCTCAGAAATCAAAGGTAAGCTATAGTTTGTATCTGGTTTGATGTGCTTTTAGTACGGGTGGTGGTGTGTTTTTTTTATTATTCAGTGATGTGTTTTTTTTTCCAAATATATGAGTGGATACACCTAACTTTAAGGAGAGTTAGTTCTACCATGTTGTATGGTAACGATTTATTAACCTAAGTTCCTAAGAAAGGGGGTAACGTTTAGTTAAATTGGCATAACTTTCATGAGCACATTTATGTTACTGGACAGTTAGTAAAAGACAACATAAGGGATAATTATTGATATGCTAGTTGGTCATAGCATCAGTAAATATCAGCTCACAGAGTAAGCTACAACTGTATCACTCAAGTTCGATTCAAATTCTTCAAGAATCAAGAATTTATTACAACAAATTGCAAAAAAGAACATTTTGTATTGTTGAGGTAAAAATGAGGGTAACTTAGGCTAAGAAGTCTGAATAATCTGCAAAGATAAAATGTCCAGTGGTTAGCATATTAATTAAGATTCAATAACTTAGGCTACAAATAATTTAAACAACAGTGTAAGTTACACATGTAAGGCCTACATCAGTCAAAAAACTAAAAACTAATAGTGTAGTTGTAAACATCAGTGTAGTTGCATCAGTTCCATCACAGTACAGTCTCAGTTGCATCTGAAACTTGTCAGTTAACTATCTGTCAGTTGGTTTCAGTCAGTCTTCCATCACTTTATTTACCGTGATGTTACAGTCAAGATTATTTATAGAATATCAATAGTTCCTTCAATATTTTAGGATGACACAAGAATGAAAAGTAAAGATCAGTAATACACAAGAACATCAGGCGTCCGAAAAATCCCAAAATATCAGTTGGAAGAAATCTAAAATTGACTGACGGATGTTGCCTGAGCAACTGACAGACCTGCATCGGAACTGCGCTGGAGGAGCGTAGAAAACGCAAAAGGAAATCTATTAAAGAATACATTGTTTGACTGTGACGTGACTGATGTGACTGAACTGTGGTGGAACTGATGTGTGTGAATCGACGTTAATGCTTGGAAAAAAACTATACAAGCTTATATTCAAAAGAACTCATTGGCATTTTTTTTAAATGTCGGAGTTGAATGCTTATAGTTATTACAGAATAGTCATGATTTTTGTTTTACAAGTGTAAGTGTAATTTGATAATATTTTATTTAGCATTGTAGGAATTTAAAGATTTGTAACATTTTGACATATTGCTACAAGTTTGCTATTGTGGTATACCGAGTACCGTCTGTTGCAGGTTGGCGGCGCGAGGACTGACAGGACGCAAGGGCAAGAAAGCCAGTGTTGTGGAGGAGAGCAGCTCTGAGGATGGTAATGAGTCCCCTCCTCCTCCTCCAGCCCCTGTCCGATCCTCACCCTCCCCTTCCTCTCCCGGTGGGGGTCCGGCCAGTGGCCAGCGGGAAGAGACTAGCGATCGAATCTCAAAAGAGAAACAAAAGTTCTTTAGAACGAGTGCATTCTATGCGATGCGCCAGGGTGGTGTGGGTGCGGGCGCTCGTACTGTGCGGGACTCGAGCTCTAGCAGTAGTTCCTCCGGTAGCAGCAGTAGTAGTAGCAGCAGCAGCAGTGACGAGTCCAGTAGTACCTCCGACACGGAGCAGAATACCAAAGTGCAAGTCAGGACTCATAGTGAGGCTAAGAAATGTGATATTATTGTTAGTGAAAAAAATAAAGTAGTTAGGGATGTAGTTAAAGAAGTGAAACCGCCGGTGGTGAAGAGTGGAGATGTAGAGTTCCGCAAATCGGTACCTCTGAGGTCCGCGACCAATCACGATCGGTGTAAGACACCCAGTATTGGTCACAAAATAACAGAGACTCTGCCTAAAAGTGCCGGGTCGAATAATCAAGCTGATACTCCTGCAACTGCCCTCGACACTCCTGTGTTTTCTAACCTTTATAAGTCATCATTGCCAGACAGCTTTACACCACTTTCCACCAGTGCTTCTAAAGCACCAGCACCTCGCACAGGGAGCCCCACTAAGTCCCCCAGTGGATCCAACGGGAGGTTAACTTCAAAACCCGGAGGTAACATGTCTTCATTGATCAGTAGTTTGTCCAACAGCTACTTGAACAAGTCATCGTCATCACCAGCAAACAGTCACTCTGTTACATCATCAAAAACTGACAAAGTAAACAACCATAATTCTTTTGTCGAAGAGAAGGAAAAACCCTGGGGGTTTGCGGCTGCTGCAGCCCAAGAGAAGGCAGATATTTTTGGTTCAAACACAATCGAAGCCTTTACTCCCCTCAGTGGTCTCATCAACCCCAAGCATTCGGTGACTACTCCACCTTCATGTAAAACTAGCCTGAGCACCTTGTGTTCGCCTCTAGGAGCTACTCTTCACACACCACTGACTTCTACGTTGAAAGCTCCCTTAGGAGCTGCTCTGGACAAACCCATGTCCACAACCAGCTCGTCTGGAACAGCACCAGCAGACGACAGACCGGTGAACAAAGAAATGTATCGGCCCGGTCTTGGACAACTCAAGGGACTGTTTGACGGACTAAGCCACTTGTTCACTACTCCGGCTCACAGCCGCTTTAGAACTGGAGCAAATACACCTAATTATAATCCTGGGAGGCGGAAACCCCGTTCCGAGTTACCAAAGAGAAAATATAAGACTGTTAATGAAATTAAAACGTCGAATAAAGTGCCTAAAACGGGAACGATCCCGCCCTCCAAAGAAGTTGTTGTACCTTTAACTCCTCCTGCTCCCTTGCAATTACCACCTCCCCCCGAAGTTAAATATTTAAGCCCCTCTTTTCTCGTTAAAACGGCAGCAAATGCTAAAAAACATGAAACAGAAAGAAGACGTATGTTTAAAGAAGAAGGTCCCCACATTGTTTCCGACAGTACGTTGATGTTGCACAAAAAGCAAGCCCAAAAGAGAGAACTTATCGCGGAAGCCACTCTCCGTGACCACCACCACCCTGTGCCTCCATCTCATTTCCGAGCACCTTCTCGGACCGACCACCTCAGGCCGACCGACTCTAACCGCTCGGGTAAGACACTACCCGCCCCCTCCTCCCGTCTGCTTGCCTAACATGCACCCGGTTGTGGTGGAATATACACTGTAACATTCTCCCCTCCTTGTAGCATCCTTCCGTTTGTGTTACCAATAGACACGTCCCATTTTTCATTTTGTCAAAATATTTTGTTTCAATAATTTTATTTTAAACTGTTGAAAGGAAGATGTCATTCATTTCAGTCAAGGTTTTTCATATATGTCATGTTTTAAGACTTCATTTTTGTTCAAAATCCTTACATCGTTTTTGGCTTTCACAAGGTGTCTTATGAAGGGAAGATTTTTGGTTAGGTGGCGTAACCTGGACGGACCCTCCCCTCATTTCATTCATGCTTGCTGTTATTTTGCTTTGTATATATTTAAGAATGCTTAAGCTATTTCCAACTCATATTTTGAATCATTTTTAAATGTCTTTCCTTGGTCATATTATTTTAGCAAGTTAGAATAAAATGTGTTAAGCTGCAACAACTATTATTTAAGGTGAATTTAGTAAATATTTGAAAATTCTACTTTTGATAATTTAAGACACATCTGAAAATGTTTAAGCCATATAATCCATTCACCATAATCTATTTTGTATACATACAAAAAATAAGTAATTCTTAAGGTTTGTTCAGTTTCAATCTACATCTTTCCTAAAAACATTTTTGAATACAATTGTTTGGGTATAAAATCTATTTGAACTTTGTTTGTTTGTTTTATGAAACTAAAGTATAATGTCAAAAGACTCTACATTTTAATGTACATTTTTCAAGATAAAACAAAAGACTTAAATATAATATTAGTTTTATGAGTAAATTTTCTAACTGTGATAAGGATTATGCAACATTTCTGGGCAAAGTGAGGAAACGGGAAACTCTTCTGTATAATATTATCAGGCAATAGTCATCTTGTAATACAAGGAAGAAAAAGATAATAACAAGTTACATATTTAACACTTATATAAAACTTAGTATTGCTAGTAGCCTGAATTATAACATTTTTTAGACTTTTCCACATCCTCTAATTTTTTAAAATATATCTAAATGGTACGATAAAGTAAGATTATTTTACTAGGTTGCCTAATTAAATTTTAAATAATCCAATCAAGTCTGTGTTAAGCAAATTTTGCTTAGCATTAATACTGTAGCCCATTAGTGTATGATATCAATCATGGTAATGGTTTTTTATAACAAGTTATTGCTTCATAACGGAAGAAGGTTTTTTAAAAGATAACCTACTAACTCATGTAAATAAGGTGTAAATGGGTTTGTTAAATATAGTTTCATAGTACGGTTATTTAAATTATTAAAAAATTAATTATTTTTGCACAAGCTTAAATATGTTTTAGTAGTATAAGTAATCGGATATGACCAAATAAGTTTCAAATATATCCATTAAAAAAATGACTAAAATATTAAAAAAAATCTATTTCTATAAACCACTTAACACGTTCGCTACCAATCGCCTCATATGCAACACTGCGGTCATTGCTACCTACCGAGGTATACATTTTTATATTACACATAGACCAAGTGTCACTTAGTTAACAGTACACGCAGACCACGGAATAATGATTCAGCAAACTAGCAAAGTAATAAACTGTTTTGCCAACTATCGTATGACGTTACTAATCATCATATCCACAGACCAAGACGCACATATGCGACAGACAGCCCTGTAGACAACTGCAGAGAATTTAGGGCCTTCAAACAGACTGTTACAAAGATATAAGGTTTTTTAAGTCCATGGGTAGAAACCAGCCATCGCAGATGTGCATCGCTGGTCCATATGAATGAAAAATTTAGTAATATTGTGTTAGTGAATGTGTAAAACAAATTGTCTAAATTTAAAGTTGGCCTACCTAATTTTTTTAATGAGCTTTATCCAGTAATGATTTTCTTGATTTAGAACCTAATTTTTTCAATGTGGCATTTGTGCCATATAGTTAATTTACACTACCGTATTTCTTCTTTGTTTAAAAACTTTTTCTATATCTTTGTCAAAACTGTTTGATGTTGCGTATTGTCAAACCAATTCTAAATCATCTTAAAACTTACACTCCAACCCCTATCTCTGGTTCTTTGTCGATGTAGTTAAATTTGATGAGTAGCAATATTGTAATTATCACTATTTAAAATATTTATATTCCAAAAATTCTTTGTTTTTACATCAAGTTAACAATAATACATACAGTAATTCAGAAATTAAAAATTGTGGGTATCTAGAGGCCATTCTTTTGGTAAAATTGAATAAAATATACCTGCAATGCTTCAGATTAATTCCTTTTAACGTTCATGTTTTAATATTATTGAGGCTTTTTTTTAATCAGCTAACAAATGTTCTAGGATGTTATAAGTTTCTAAGTACCTATGCAAAACTGAATAGGTTATTGGATTATTTATAGCTAAATTTGATTTTGCCTTAGAACAATATTGTCAGTAAGCATTTAACATTTTTGAGAACCAGCTTCATCGTGAAATGGAAACACAGGAGTTGTTTGATATCATTTCACACAATCAACCTTATGTTTTGTGGTCATGAAGATTTCAGCTTTATATCACCTTGTCAGTGGCTAAGGATCTAATGTAATTTTTTTTTCTTAAGACAAGTTTTGTTTTATATTTTATATGATGTTTTGTCACAGTGTTCCAGAGAATCAACAGCATGCAGGATTTGCCACAGTTTGTGTCACAGAAAGATGTGGAATTGTTCAAACAAGCGATTCAGCAGCGTATCAGTTCGGTAAGACAAACAACCAATTATTGTTGGTTAAAAAATTATAGTAACTGGTTAAACTCAAGAGGCTTAAAAAATCACTATAAATAACAGGGTGTCCAGCGAACGGGAAAACCGAAAAAATTGTACGGGAATATTATAACGCCGGAACTATGCGGGAATTATACGAAAATTCTGTAATAGGCGGGAATTTGTTTGGGATTGATTTTTAATTTAAAATATTCAACAATTATTGAGAGTCAAATAGAACACATGTGTAAAGTTTTTCTCCAACTGGAAATATTTATTAGCGTGAAAGCAAAATCAACAAAGACGACAGGCTACAAACACCATTTACTCGAAGCCGTCCAGCCCAGGACCAGGATTCGAGCTACTTTGTCAGAGATCGGTTCCCGAACGACAACGCAACGCGTGAATACACAACTCTAAAACTAAACTCTATGTCTAGTCTAATGTCTTGGCTGTCTGCTACTCTTGTCTAGATTGACAACTCAGTCAAACATTTATTAAAAAAATTATTACAAAACCAAGTATTAACTATTAAGTTAAATGTTTGGAAACTAGGGTTTGTTAAAATTGATTATTACAGTACATCTCTATTTTATTTAAGGTCTATTTATTCAAAGCACCATGTACATGAATCGTGCCATACAATCTTAAAAAGGAGCCCATCAAGACCCTCAGAACCGTTCAGACTATACTTCAACAAAAGGGAATTTCTAATGAATCTACCCTTAAAATAAACTCTTAGTTAAATAAACAAATGTACAATTGTTCTGATGACTAGACTATTTTTAAAGAATACATATAATAATCATTGTATTTTGTTCATTCGTGATGGTTTGTTGCAGACGGTGGAGTCAGCTGAGCCTGTGGCTACGACGTCCACTCCAGGTGGGTCGCTGCAGACTAGGTGTCCAGCGGCCATCGAGTTTGGAACCTATGAGATTCAAACCTGGTACTCCTCCCCCTTCCCCCAGGAGTACGCAAGGTAACCACTACACAGAAAGATATCACTAATGATTGTTTACCAGGAGGATTGTGTTGTATGGTAGGAAATTAATGTATAATTAACTAAATTTATGTGACTAGATGTCATTTAAATCGGCAAGTAGTGGGGATAGAAAGCAGAAAAATAATTCAGTTCTGGCGGGGAACATCCCTCTTGGGGTGGTGATAATATATAATTCCAAGAATGTAAACCGTCCAGACCCCAAATTTTGAGGACCTTTATCCGTAATGACGCTGTGATGGCACTAATATTCACCTACCAAATCTATTGCATTTACTTTGCCCTAAAGATACGTTAAATGTCCTTCTACATTACCTAAACAACTTATCACATTTGTCTTGTTTGTTTGCCAGATTACCAAAGCTGTTTCTGTGTGAGTTCTGCCTCAAATACACCAAAAGTAAGGCAGTTCTGGAGAGACATCAAGACAAGTGTACATGGAGGCATCCCCCCGCCACCGAGATATACAGGCGTGATGATCTCTCTGTTTTTGAGGTTTGTGGTTGTACTAGTACTTAGTTGACCAAGAAATTTCTTAGAATTTTTTTTCTACCCATGTATTACAATGTTGTGTTTGATATTTTATCTTTACCGTCCAGTTTTCTAAAAAGTTGGCTAACCTAAAGAATTCTGAAACCGTTCCTTACAGAAACCGTGATCTTACTGGTCAAAGTCAACCAATAGTAGATTTTCCACCATACTACCCTTTTTGTTTGAAATGTTCAAGGCACAAATATTTGGCACTCTTAGGGAAATTTTTTCCTGGTTTTTATTGGGAAGGAAATCTAGCGATATAATTGCAATATTGAAAGATATCTGTGAAGGTTGTGCAATAACTGAAAATTTGCAATATCTCGTTAGAAGAATTGAATGAGCCATGCAGCAACTTTTTCGGTATTTGGTATTATTGACTCTCCTATCCAACATGGTTTAAAAGTAGTAATGATCATGTTCAACAACCTTCAAAGAAATTATCATCAGATCTTCTACAAATCATTAGGGGTGGGCGAGTACTCGACCTTCGAGTAATTACTCGAGTTTTTTCAAATACTCGACCTCGAGTCGAGTAGTAATTACTACTCGAAAATTGCGAGTCGAGTAGTTATAAATAGTGCCAATTCACGATTTTCTACATCCATATTTAATAAATTATATTTTGTTTTGTGTTGATGCCTTATTTAATCCCCATTCCTACAAAAAACAACTATCTAACATCATATAGGTTAGACAAGCGTAAACCAAATGTTCAACAAACACCCATCGTCATTCGGCAGAGCTAGCAAGAGGACTACTACTTTCACTTTCCTACAACAGTCAACAATACGTCTCGATAACGATACAGTAAGTTGAAATAAAGCATTGAATGAATCTATCGAATTGCAATAGTCGATAGTCAACAAGGGAGTCTCGTGACTAGTAGGCCTAACAATGGCAGACGATTCTTGAAGATATTATAAAGTACAGTATCAGATTTAGTTTGAACTGCCATGAAAATATTTTATACCAAAATATAGAAATAACAAAATATTTTATACCAAAATATAGAAATACAACAAATAAAAATAATCTATTGTAGCATAATATTTTTTCAAATTAATCGGTATTGGTGTTTAGTTTTACAAACCGATAAGTTACTGCAAGGAACATCGATGCATCTGAATGACGCAATCTCATTGGGTCTAGGCAAATGGCAGAAAGAAAAGATCAGTTCCACTTTAAACTCAGTGTTGCCAGATGGACGATAACTTTTGTACTTTTACAACTGTGGTATTGGCGTAAACAAACTATAAGTATAATTTTCTAACGAGTTTACAGAAACATGATTTAAATTAGTCAAACTATTAACTTTTTTTACGAAATAAAAGCTATAACAATTTTATGATAATTTTGCCGACATTCACCATAATGGTGTAATGATAAATATGGCAACGTCAGCCCTGCAAAACAGCTGTTTGATGGGAAAACAAAGCAGAAGCAGACAGCAGGAGCAGACCGACTAGAGAGAGAGAGAGAGAGAGAGAGATAAAGATGGTGACACATAGCAACAACAAGAACATAACAAAACAATGGATTGGAGTGAAGTTATGTCATGTCAACGTCAGTTTTGAATGTTTTTACTTTGAAGTGAATTTGTAACTTAAAATAAAATTGATTTTGGTAGTGGAAGTTTAATAGAAAGTAAAATAAACATATTCTGTTTGTGATTTTGATTGTGCAATTTTCAATCTGGTCGCAGAAACATGACAACTACAGTTTGAATTGTAACTTAACCTAGAAAATGTGAGTTTCCTTATAAAGAAAGGCCAAATTAATAGGCTATACCAGGCTACAGTGAAATGTGTTTTAATTTTAAATTAAGTGTTTAATGTGGGATTTTATTTCGAGATAATAGGCCTACTATGTTTTTATTTGATATTTTCAGTCTGTCAGAGACAAGTTACTTGATCATTTTTATAAATGCACTGAGTGAAGAGGATAGCCCTAGTACCCATAACCTTCAAACTTCAGACAGATGAAGTGCTTATCCAAGTGATTACCTATTTTAAAATTGATGTTGTACCTCATTGATGTTTTTAACTTGTGATACAATATGTAGTTTGATAAAAGTTTTCTGTTAAATAAATAAATTTATTTTTATAAATTCTGTTTCTTATTTGAATTGAAATTATTCTTAAAGTTAGGTACCTTATTAAGTTAGTTAGTTAGGTTGATTATCATGTTAGTGAGGAGGAATTAAAGGCAAGAAAAAGTAAAACACACAATAACAAGTGATGTGTAGGCCTAAATGATTTAATGCTGCAGCCAACAAGTAGTTTAGGCCAAATTTTTTATTAGGCCTAAGGTAGGAGGTACTAATAATTAGTAACCATATAACTTAGAAAATTTGGTATAAGTACTTAAACTACCTATTTAGGCCTAGGCAGGGTTTAGGCTAGGATGAAATTTGTTTCAGCAAAATACTGCAAACTCTATGCAAAGACAAAAACTAAGTTAGGCCTAACTGTAGAAAAAATATTATTAAATAACTTAAGCATTTAAAACAAAAAATTCCAGTGGGCTAATATTACATTTGTTTGAACATTACATCTTTCAATTTTATTTGTAGAAAATTTGCCATAGGCCTAGCCTGCAAAACAATGTAAACTTAGCATTTTTAAGTTGTGAATAGCAAGATGCTAAAAATACTACCGCAGCATAAACCCTGGGCCTAGGCCTACTTAACGCGCAACTACTCGACTCGACTCGATACTCGAGTTTTTACTCAAATACTCGACTCGACTCGACTCGAATTGAAAAATCACTACTCGCCCACCCCTACAAATCATATCCTATTTGTGTTAACTAGACCTATCTCTATAACCTATTTCCTAATTTTTTTTACAACACACTATTGTGTTACAGGTTGACGGGAATGTGAATAAAATTTACTGTCAGAATCTCTGCCTTCTAGCCAAGTTGTTCCTAGACCACAAGACTCTCTATTACGATGTGGAGCCGTTCCTGTTTTATGTATTGACCAAAAATGATCACAAGGTATGTAAGCTACTATTTTACAGATTGTTTAATGATTTAGTTAAAGAAATCACAAATCATGGACGTTGCCACGATCATGGAAAATCGTCCTAGGGTAATTTTTTTTGGGCAGCAAGTTTTGGCTTAGAAATTTTGAATTTTAACCTGAAAAACATGGACTAGTCCTTGAATTTTACTTCGATGGGACACTGGACACTCTGTACAAGTTTTTATTAATTTTTAATTGACAAAAAACATACTATTATTATTATCGCACAATAAACCATCCTAAAGGTATGAAATAAGGATCCAACCTAGGGCAGTTTAACCAAAATTACGTGAACAGTAAAGATACTATTGATGAATCATGGACAGTATCCTACATATGTTTATTGTACACAATAACTTTATTGTGCTAGGATGGACTTTTTCCCATTTAAATAATAATATTCTTCAATTTTTGTTAGTCTCTGACAGAATTTGAAACTTGTACATCCTTATACGTGTTTGAATTTAAATAAACACTAAATATACTCTGCTAGAAGTCTTCTAGATGGTCAAAAACTCAACCAAAAAATGTAATGTACAGAGTTCTCTATTTCCACCCCACACTGTAAATAAAACATGTAATTGGAATTGCTTCCATTTGTTTGATTTTCTGTTTATATTTCGTTGTTATTTCGTCACCAGCATGGCAACCCATAAGGCCCATGTAATTTTTTTTTAATTTTACATCCATTTTTTGTGCTTATTTTCAAATCTATTTAAATTTATAAAAGCATTCTGCACATCTACAGAAAAATATATTTTCAACAGTATGCGTAAACTTTGAAAAAAGGTTTGAAAAAAACATGCTTGCCTACTAATATATAGAGATCACTTGTAAAATTAGTTTAAGTTGAAATATCCAATTTTAAGTCAATTGTTAAGTGCCTTAACAGTAACACACTTCATTTCCTGTTTGTAGGGTTGTCATCTAGTGGGGTATTTCTCCAAGGAGAAGCACTGTGCCCAGAAGTACAATGTCTCTTGTATCATGACCATGCCTCAGTATCAGAGACAAGGATATGGCAGATTCCTCATAGACTTCAGTAAGTCTCAAGAACATTATGTTCAGTAAAACTAGGGATGGGCCGATTCCGATTCTCGATACTTCGCTTCATTGTACTCAATACGGATTCTGAAAAGTGAGGTTAATTATGATACAAAATTCGACTGACGTTGAAAGTTGTAAAGAGTAAACACATCATAGTTTATTTGGAATACTCCGAAGTCAGAATAAATAATTCCAAGTTCATTAGCTCACATTTGTAATATAATATAAAATAGTATGCCTTTGCCTTTTGCAATGTACAACTTGAAGTTGAATGATAGAGGCTTATCACTTGCCGCCATGTTGTCAGATCGAGGGCAATGTTGCCAGATTGGCCACATGGTACAAGCATTGAATATATAAATACTGTATAATACAAAGTGTACATAGTTAATGGTACTAGTATAAATCACATTTGTTAACTCGTGATAGGCTTTATGTACATTTCATTAGCAGCTAAAGAGCTTGATAGCTTGCTGATCATAGTGTATAATATCATTGACTATTAACACACTTCGTGAGTATATATAATCAATGGTTGATCCTTTAACCCTCTTAGCCCACCACATATTGGATGGGTTTTCTGATGCGCATGAATGTCTCCCGCCCAAAATCAGGCGACTTTGTTGGCGCTAAGTTTTGTCATTATTTTTATATATGCGTGATCAATGCCCAAGCTTACTTATACCAACTGTTCAGCTAATTCAGGGCTTCATGGTGACTATTGGAGATGGCCGTTTATCGATGTATTTTATGATTGTCTATATGTTGTTTCTCTCTGACTAAACTAAAACAGCTGTCGTGAGTTTGCGAATAGTGAATTGTTTATGTTTTGTTTTTGATTGCTATGCCTGGTGCGTTGTGAATTGTTCAAAAATGGGTTATGATCTCAGTTCCAGTGATGTGATGAACTCCATGACTTTATGTGATTCTTTAGGCAATATAAGTGATATTGATTATGACAATATTGAAGATGACTTTGATATTGACTTTGAGTTTATAACTCAAGCAATAATATGGAACATTCAATGAAGGACCAGCAGATGTATGGATGCTTATGAAAACAAAAAAAAACTCAGTGAACATTTTAGGCCTACCTAAACCGGTGTTTGTTGTTTCAATTTAATTTAATAAAATATCTTAAAATGTATGTCTTCTTGAAGTACCTTATTTTCCTTATAAGCTAACGTAATCTATGTAACCTTATTTAATAGAAATGCAGTTATGTTTGTATTAAGATTAAATAAAAATAACACGCTCCTTTATTTATAGGGATTGCGAGAAGCACACATATATGTGTTATTAAATGAATTTATAACAGGTTTAGGTATCGGTATCAAGTGCGGAAATCGATGCGCAAATCGAAACCAAAGTTCTGGAATCGGCCCATCACTAATGTGATAGGTCCCTCAACTTGAGGTTCCCACTGTTACTTTGGGTAACAAAACGCAACTTTATTAAAACCCAAAACAATACAAAGAACACCTAGATTAACACTTTAACCGAAACACCGGTCTGTGAGACCGGAGGGAAAATTGATTTTCCTGTAGTGGCAAAACTGCTGGACGTGCATACCCCTAACCCTCAGTACCTTAGCCCCTCCTACTCTTCTCCCTACCCAACCCATCAGCATCAGTCCCCAATCAGGGGTCATTGAGTGAACGTCTCCATTTTGAAAATGTGCCGGTCTCTAGTGCCGGATCTTTCGAGTAATGTATAGCGCGCTGCCAGTCTTTGTAGGCAGTTGTTTATGCAAAATTGCAAAGGCTTCTTTTTTTCCAAAAAACCCGTAAAGTGTGCCTAGACTGTGACTGAATGTAAAAGACAAGTTCAGATAAGAAGATTTTTATTTTTTAATTTATGTCTCCAGTATATTGTATGTTTTATGTTTTTTAACATTTTATTACATTTTTTGTAAATTAATATTACTTTTATAATACATATATTTGTACGAAAATGTATGTTTTACTTTCCTTAGCCCGCATATACTAAAAAAATGCTAAATCTAAGATTTTACATGCAATTTGTTGATGAAAAATCGTTCGGTCTCTGAGACCGGATGTTTCTATTTACGTAAGTGTCACCCATGTTTCGGTTAAAGTGTAAAATCAAACGAAAAGGTAGAGTAGACTGGAACTGTATAAATCATTTAGTTAGAAACTGAAACCCCAATTTGGAAAAGACTCCAAAACCTCAATTTAGAAAAAACCTTAACATGGTCTTACCTGGACCCAAGGCCAAGGGCAGGAGCTCCCCCAGAGTACCCTGTCCTCCGGTACACCACACTCACCACTCCACACAAAACTCTCCCCTTGATCAAGTGCACTGGCCTACTTAAAGCAACAGCCTTCTGTAGGTCAGCACAACAAGTTATCGTTTAACAACAGTACCAGCCTACTCACACAACATTGCCAAACACTTCATCCTTCCATCACACTAAGTAAAACACTATTGGCCAGAGGTGTTTGATATGAAAGATATCTTTTTAGAGTGTAGATATTTGGCTATCTAGGTCTGCTTTCAATTTAAACTCCAAAGCCTGTTCAAGCTTGAGCTAGAAATAGTTATTTGTGTAACTAGTGAGCAAAGTGGCACTTTGCTGCACACGAGAGCAACGTTTACTCGCCTGCGGCTCGTGCGGAATGATCTCGAGTGCAGCAAAGGCCTTTTGCACTCGTGTTTCACATTATATTTTTCCTACAGTCACTATAAAGCATATAAATAATTAGTCTTTCAAACACTGTACAACACGTTTTTAGGTTCAGCTGGCAACACAAATAGGTGCCCTAGAGAAAGTAGTCCCCGGTTCGTATCACTCTGCTATTTTTTCCTTGGCAAGCAATGTGCTCCGCGACTTGAGAAAATAGTTCCGTATATTTTTGTAATTTGCAGTGGTTTCCGTGCCTAAAAAATGCTTTAAAGGTACCTATTTTCTTGTTTATTAAGATCGTAGGAATGTTTTAAAAACGTTTAAAAGAAAAGTTCAGAAATACCGAAAAGAGAACATAAACTATAAACACGAAATGACAGGTTAAATCGTAGTTATAATAGTCAATCAGCTGCTCATAGTATTATTATCTTTAAGTGTTGCCAACCCATTTCCAAGCGTACACGGATTATGTGCATAATAGAACCACGCTGTTTTGTGTTGTTTCGTTGGAATCCTGATGTGCGCCAAAGTATAAACCGTACGACAAAGTATAAATATGCAGCAATTAGCAGCTTTCTGTATAAACAGTACAAGGAAGCCAACTTTGTCGGGTGACTGTAGGAAAAATCTATTGTGTCTCAGCAAATCACACTCAACTCAATTATTTCAATTTTATGATGTTTTTTTTTCAAGGTAATTTTACTAGTTTTGCTATTTTTTTTTGTCAAGTAAGTTAAAAATCCTATTTACCAAATTGAAAATTAAAAAGAATTCAGGTTAAAGTTATGAATGTAATAATTTGTTTATAATCAGACAAAGAGCTCAAATAGGACACATAGGTTGTTTACATGTTTTGGCTTGTATCCGCCATTGTCAAAACATTGTAGTTGAATGAAATTCATGTCATTAATTATTAATAAACATACACACAAATAAGGACAGGACGAAGACAATTACGAATAAAAACTACTAATAGGCCTATTACAAATTTGGTAAAAAATATGGTGGGATTTAAATTTAAGTTTTTTAAGGTTGTTTTTAAAAGTGTAAAAAACTCAAGTTAGCTGCTTGTTGCAGGTTACTTGTTGTCCAGAGAGGAAGGCCAGCCCGGGACACCTGAGAAGCCATTGTCAGACCTGGGCAGAGTGTCGTACCATGCCTACTGGAAGTCAGTCATACTGGAGTACCTGCACAGGCACAAGGACGAGCCTTTCTCCATTGCAGCCATCAGCAAGGAGACTGGTAAACAAGCTGAAATATAGTCTGATTGAACTTACAGGGTATCCAACCCACTCATTTGTGGAAACCTTAAAACTGTGAACGAGTTGTGAATTTTGTCAATCGTTAAAACATGTGGATTGAGCCGCAAGTTTTGTGGTTAAACCTTAAAAGCGGACTAGGTAAATTACAATTTTTGACTACTCAACAATGTTGTTATCAAGGATGTGTTGATTCTTTATACTTTGTGACTTCATGGATTCAATACCAATCCCAGTACCTTTGATTGTGGTGAATCTTGATCATTTATTGTGTTTGATATAACATCATGATAAATTCTTGATAATTTCTTATATAACTCTATTAAGGTAATCTCTTGTCATGATAATTCCTCTATTAAGGTAATCTCTTGTCATGATAATTCCATCGTCAAACTTTGCTGATGGCTTACATGTACGCTGTAATATTTTGAAGAAACTAGTCGGCCTATACAAGTTCCTCGAACCTTAAGATCTTTAACATCCTTAAACCATTATTATTTTTCATTTAATTTTTGAATGCTTTCAATAATTATCATTTATAAATAAACGATACATTTAACTTTTCAAAATTATTCTGTTAATAATTTAATGAATCTTCCTACATCGTTTTAACAGCTTTTTTATGTTTATATTTAAATGTGGTCTGGAATTGGAATAACATCTATTCATGCTAATGGCTGTTGTTATATCACAGCAATGTTATTTCCACCACGATTATGCCTGTACCCCATCCAAGTTCCATGAACCTTAGCAATGTCACAAATAATATGCAATATGACTTTGACAGTGATTAAACTGTGAACTTCATTTGCAAGTTTGAGTAGAGGCCCTGTCTACAACGTAATTATGTAGGTTATTATTTGACTATGTGTTCTCTGTACAGGTGTGTTCAGCCACGACATCAGTGTGACATTACAACAGCTGGGGATGGTGGCCAAGAAAAAGAGCGGGGAGATCATCATCACAGTGGATTGGGACATGGTGGAGGCACACGCTCGTCGTGTAGCCACCAGCCGCTCTCGGATACACATAGAGCCCGAGTGTTTGCGGTGGACACCTCTCATCTCACACATTGCCAACCCCTTCAAGACCATCGAGGTAATAACTCTACCAAACACAAGAAAAGAAGAGTACAGCTCGTGCCATCTAAGCTGGCACTTGGCCGATCGCTACTAGCCTAGTTCAAAAACATCATGTGCCGTCCTGCGGGTTGCGTCAACTGTCCTCGCGACCCACGTGAAGGCGCTCGAGTACATGCAACCACTGCAACTTGTTAAATAATGTGTATAAAAAATTCTCTTACCTATGTTTTTAATAAATCGACGACAATTGAGTTCCCAAGTCTGCTAATCTTAGTATAAATAGCCGCATGAATATTGAATAAATGATCTGATTAATATCACAGACCCACTCAAACAATATTTATAGCGGCCTCTTGGCTTTTTATTATTTATTTCGTCCAATATTTACAACCCTATCACAATCATAATACATAAATAATAGATGAGAGAACTATTAACACTACAATCATTTTTATAACACAGTCATAATAAAAATAACAATAAAATATATCAAACAAGTATTGTTTATAACCGAATAAAATTTTGAAACAATATACACTAGAGAATTATTTTACAGTACAATTATATTTACAACAAAAATATATTTATATAAAATCACAATAACAATAATTAATTATATATGAAAACAATAGAATATATAAAACCGGTAATCTTTTTAACCCAATAAAAAAATTATGACACAAAATAGACTAGAGAATTATTTTACAGTATAGTTATATTTACAACACAAATATGTTTATACAAAATCAATCACAATTAATTATATATGAAAACAATAGAATATATAAACCCGGTAATCTTTTTAACCTAATAAAAAAATTATGACACAAAATAGACTAGAGAATTATTTAACAGAACTATTATATTTACGATACAAATATATTAATATAAAATCACAATCTCAATTAATTATATATGAAAACAATAGAATATATGACACCAGTAATCTTTATAACCCTATCAAAATCATGGTGATGATAATAATAACAAACAATTATTAATCATTGCATGAAAAATGCATTTTGAGCAAACGTTGATAACATATTCCTACTTAAAAAACGTTTTTACTACTTCATTTAACATGCAATAATAAACATCCTCTTTTATTGTTTATAGTTCTTCGATGCCTGACATGTCACTCAAGTCTTCACTGGATCCCTCATCGTCGCTGCTGCTGCCCACATGAATAATAAAATTCTCGGTAATTTCGTCAATTGCTGGCTCTTTTGCGGCGTATTCCATTTCAATATTCATCACATGTCTGCACCTTGATTCCCAATCCTCCCTTGTTATCGAGGAAAACTTTTGTTCACACAGCCTTTGCACATCAGACAATTTAAACGTTGTGTTGTGTGAAGCAACGAAGTTTTTTACGTCCGCCCAAATCATTTCAATTGGGTTTAAATCTGGATGATATGGAGGAAGACGCAAGACGCTGTGACCTTCTTTCTCCAGGATCTCATCTAGTGCATATTTAATGTGTCGTGGCTTATTATCTTGGATAATTTTGTATAGTTGAGGTTTTAACATGAATGGGTCGTAGGAAATATTTCGTTCATCTAGCCAAATTTGCATCTCTTCCTTTTTGCTATTTGACGTAGGCGCTTTGTCTAGTTGCTTGTTGTGATATCCCGCATTATCTATCACCAGGACTGAGTTAGGCTGCAGATTAGGAATCAACTGATTTTTGACCCAATGCATGTAGTTTGCGTGGTTCATGTTGTCGTGGTAATCACCTGATTTTTTCCCAGCCTTCCACATCGCCAAAGCGTTGGGTATAAAACCTTGGTCCCCTCCAGCATGCACTATAATTAACCTCTCTCCCTTGGATACTGGAGTACGTAAAATGTTCGTGGATCCATCCGACCACATTTTCCCAGATATATGATCAGAGCACACATAGCTTTCATCCATATATACAATAGGTCTACCCTCTAATCTAAACTTTTTCACAGACTGTAGATATGCTATTCTCTTTTCCCTAATCTCTGATTTTTCTATTAGGATCCTTCGGTTGTTTTCCGATCTCTTCCATGAAAATCCTATTTTTTTTAAGATTCTACGAACGCTTTGTTCACTCCCTCTAAAATTAATTTTGTCTCGTAGAGAGTTCTGAAGCAATTTAGCCGTTGGCAGCCTTTTTTCGGAAATGTAAAACTCGTAGACAGCCCGTCGGACAACACACTCATCAAAATGGTCTAAATCAGTTACGGGCTTATATTTTTTCCTATTTTTTTGAGGAGTGATGAATGATTTGTTTTCGTTACCTTCACTCACTTTAATGGCGTCCAATTCTCTGTTTATCCTTGACACAGTACGAAGCGACACTCCAGTTGCTGCTGCAGTCCGCTCTCGTGCCTTCTGCATCGGTATTGTAACTCCACTATTACACTCTTCTTTCATAAATTTAAACACATTTGACACAATTTCCCTGCTTTGGCTACTTAATACTTTCCCTCCGATCCCTACCTTGGATTTAAAATCAGTCATTTTACACTTATAACCAGACTTAAAACACGTTAACAACCACTCCGGCACTCTGCTAGTAACGCGAAACACCGACTAACTAATTTAGAATGATAAGGAATGTCAGAATTTGTCATAACATCGTCCCCCCTCCTATTAGTCATCCACCACGCCCGGGCGTCAACCCCATGAGTCAGCGGAAATGTTTGCAGAACGGTCTTTTTCGTACCTCCACCCTCCTCCCGCCTAAACTGCCCGCGCTAGGCCAAGTGCCAGCTTAGGTGTCACGAGCTGTACAGTTTGAGTATTGTTAAATATTACTTTGGGATAAAGCATGCATTCAGTGCTATCAAAAATGTCTATAGTTATAACTGGATCAAGTGGTTATAATGCTCCTCTTCAAATCTGAAGGTGGCTAGTTTGATTCCAAGCGAAATCAATTCTGAGACCAGATAACATTTATGATAGAGGTCTAATAATTAATTATACTACCTAACAAAAACTTGACGTTAGATACAGTAGAACCCCTCATATCCGACCTCGGAATAACCGACACCTCGGTATATCCGACCTAGTGTCTGACCAAGGCCAATCGCGGATGTTGCCGTAATCGTGGCAGGCGATCATCATTGTTGTTGATGACGGGTGTTGCCGCCGTCGCAGGAGACGATTACCAAAGTCGCGTATACTGTAGGTTATCCTCCTCCCGAGATCCAACCTTTTGGTCGTTCTGACCACGGCCTGGTCCCGTAATGGTCGGGTATAAGTGGTTCTACTGTAGTAACAAAAAATACAGAGGCGTAGTTAAATGCTGAATCGACTGACTAATTCCAGGGAGAGGAGAGCAGTAAGGTGGATGTGGAGAGTACAGACCCTACAGATGAAGAGGCTGAAGACACTAGTGAGCCTGTGTCACGGGGGAGACGGGGCCGTGGACGGGGCAGAGGACGGGGCCATCGCAGACAAGCCAGTCTCCGCCACCTGCAGGATACTGTGGGCACATCAGACACTGACCATAGTCCCAGCCCAGCACCACGCAAGCGCAAGTTTAAGAACAGGTTCGTGGCTAAAAGGGTTGTAAATTTACGTAAGAACTATCTTTTATCTTTCTTGAGATTTTGTTCTACTGTATGCTCCTCAATTCGGGTGGCAAATGCCCTGACTGTTGAGATAACTAAACATCCCTTGTCATATGGACTAACTGGAGGCAATTTTTAGTTTCTCCCCCTATATATCATATAAGGAGAAAGTATTCTTTCCGTCAAAATTTTAGAATTTTGAGGGGACATATCCGTTTTGGTTTGCCATGAACACAAAAAAGTTGTTTTCAAAGTGATGTCTGTGTGTGTGTATGTATGTCTGTCGTAATGTTTGGATGTGTACAGAGCTACAGATTTTGATGAAATGTGGTATGTAGGTACTCCATATATATGTTATGCAGGATCCATGGGTATCTCCAGGCGTTTTTTTATTTTTTTAACTTTTGATTGTTAATAGTGATTTCCCCATAAAATAACGAAAAACTTGAATTTTCTCAAAATTGGCCTGATAAATTTTTATAATAATTTAATATGTTGTAGCCCTTTAGATTCTAAACAAAATGGTGAAACTCCCAGTTCCTGTAAAAATAACGGTTCAAAAGTTATTTCGACTCATGTTATTTTCCTTTAAAATAAGAGATTTTCAGATTCTTGATGAAAACCGGTTTTGATTGAAATTAGTATGTGATTGTCCTCAGGAGGCTAGATGCTCTAACTCATCAAACAATTATGAACTACGAAGCAAATTTCTAATCCCACAGTATACTAGATATTTCAATTACAATCACTCACAGTGTTTGAAGAAATATTTTTGGACGGTATAAATGTTCAGCGACTGTTTTAAAATTAACGAAATTAACATTGCTCTTATGTCGGGCAAATCCAAGATGTCCGTTAGCTTTCATGGGCTCCCTTGGCGAACAATTCAAAACTACAAAGAACATTTCTACTCTCACAGTATACTAGATATTTATATTAAAATCACTTTGGTGTTTGAAACAATATTTTTGGACGATAAATAACTCTTCAGCAGCTGTTTGAAATTATCCAAGATGGCCGCTATGAAAAGGTTTTGGCCGACATTTGACTTTAAGTACCGATCCATCCCTAGTCAGATTGCTGATACCGTTTATTTCTATTATAAAAAATATTGATAATGAATATGAAGCCTACAATACTGCTTAGTAATACGAGTGCCGTTCAAAATTAGGTTGCTTTAAGATGAAAACTCTCTATTTAGCTCTGTGTTATAGTATGCATAGCTTTATATGCCTAGTTAGTTTTAGCAAATATTCCAACGTAATGCTGAAAGCCTTTCATAGTCTTTGTGAATTGACTATTGCCTCTCAAAACCAATCTCATTTCACAATGTTATAATAAGTCTGTATGTTTGATTGTTACAGGCTAATGACCAACTTCTTCAAGAAGCGAGAGATGACGTTAGACAAGGAAGACACCGAGGAGGATGTAAGCCTGGCTGGTCGCAAGCGCAAACGCAAATCCTACGACGAGTCTGAACCTGTGGAGAAACGGTCTCGCAGCGACAACTCTGCCAGTCTCCTCAAGCCAAGTAGATTCACTGGCAACACTCCTCCTATCGCTATGGTACCTATCTACAATTCACATTTAACTTAATATAAATACCATTTTGTATTTTGCAACGGAATGAGCCAACTTGTGGAGAATTCTTTGTGACTTCCATATGAAATTATATGAATATCCTTCTTTGTTGAGGTGAACTTAACCTCTAAAAGACTAATAATAACAAAATATTTTTAAAATGCAATAAAGTTAAATACCCCAGCCACAGCAAACCTGCAGACTAAGCGAATTTCCATTTGCCTGATTAGATTTACACTAAAATGTCTCCTTAAAAATATCACTTTTATGTTTTATTCCTTACTAGCTGTGTGCCCGTTAGGGGTGTGCGAGTACTCGAACCTTCGAGCTTTTTGGTCGAGCTTTTCATTATTCGGCTCGGCTCGAGGCATTTTGAAAAAGCTCGAAGTTCGAGCCGAGCTTTTAATACTAAGTCAAAACTAAAAAAAACACTTAATTTGGGTCGTAATTGGAAACAATGTTATCACAATTCTACGTTGTTCAATCATTCGAGGTTTGATAAGCACGAACCTCAGCTCAGTCAAGACGCAATGATTATCGATCGTAATTTTGAGGAGATAGTAAAGAGACAAACTACCACCTATCGCGTTGTCTTTCTAACACAGCTATTCGTATCGTAATATACAACGCAGTGCAAGTGCGTGATTGGCTCGTCGCTATGACGACACACGGTTGCCGTGACAACCTACAGTGCGCACTGAGCACTGCGCCTTGTGTGGGAGGGGAGATTATACCAACAAACAATTTCAGGAATTCTATTTTGGGACGGATGAAAGATAAGGAAGAAACAAAAAGTGGTCACGTGTGCAAATGTAGTGGGCGACACAATAAGGCTGTAAACAAGTATCAATCGTCGTGTCGTGTCGTTGTTCCTTGTTTGTTTACTTTTTCAGATTCCTTATCAAACGCCCCTATCTGCTATCTCTCTTTCTCTCTCTGCTCTCTCTAACAATGTACTGATTAAACAGATTGTGGTTGACGACTTTTCTACTTATAAGTTTCCCTGCGGTTATTTTAGTTCAATCAATCCCATAACCTTTCTAATGTTTATCAAAATAATTAATTATCTGTTTTGTATTTTATTTCCTTTACCAACCCCTATTTACCATCTGTATTTTATAGAATAAAATGTTTGTTTATAAAGTTTGACTGGCCACACAATTTTGTACCTATTTTATTTTGTATAAAGTAACAGTTACTTTGATGATTATTTAAATATCAATAAGTGGTGCGTGCTGTAATGAATGCTTTTTATTATCAAAATAAGTAATGGATTATTAATTTTTGATAATACATGGGTCATTGAATACCATAATGTGATGTAGTTTCCTATTTGTAACTTGCAAATAATAATAATTGAGAGTTAATCCTGGAAAATGAAAAATAGTGAATGCATTCATAACCCTGTTGTCAAAACAGCAACGCGGGTGTAAGGGTTTATTGTTTCAGAGGCTAGGGTGTTTCAAGGACAAAGTGCTGGGCCTCCCGGCTCAGGGGGGGAGGTGTGGTGGTGGGACTGAGAGAGAAATGGGGGAGGAAACTGGTTTTGGCTATTTATTGATTAGTTCACCGACCCTTCTAGATAACAGAATTTAGTGACAGTGTTAAATCATCGTGTTCATTATTTCATTTCTTGTTTACTTTGTGTGTTATTCTATTAATTTTAGTGTTTTGGTCTATTTCCTCTATATGTCAATTATATATTTTTTAATATATAATTTTACTTTTTACTTTGTCTCTTCACCTTTTTGGATCCAAACCAATCATGTTCTTTTTGATTAATACATTCATAAAACAAAAATATTTTTCCTACAGTCACCCGACAAAGTTGGCTTCCTTGTACTGTTTATAGTACAGAAAGCTGCTAATTGCTGCATATTTATACTTTGCCGTACGGTTTATACTTTGCCGCACATCAGGATTCCAACGAAACAACACAAAACAGCGTGGTTCTATTATGCACGTAATCCGTGTACGCTTGGAAATAGGTTGGCAACACTTAAACTAAAGATAATAATACTATGAGCAGCTGATTGACTATTATAACTTCGATTTAACCTGTCATTTCGTGTTTATAGTTTCGGTATTTCTGAACTTCCTGGACTTTTCTTTTAAACGTTTTTAAAACATTCCTACGATCTTAATAAACAAAAAAAATACATTTAAAGCATTTTTTTAGGTGCGGAAACCACTTCAAATTACAAAAACATACGGAACTATATTCTCAAAACGCGGAGCACATTTCTTGCCGAGGAAAATAGCGGAGTGATACGGACCGCGGGTACTACTTTCTCTAAGGACACCATTTGTGTTGCCAGCTGAATCTAAAAACGTGTTGTATAGTGTTTGAAAGACTAATTATTTATATGATTTATAGTGACTGTAGGAAAAATATAATGTGTAACACGAGTGAAAAAGGCCTTTGCTGCACTCGAGATCATTCCGCACTCGCCTGCGGCTCGTGCGTAAACATTGCTCTCGTGTGCAGCAAAGTGCCACTTTCACCACTAGTTACACAAATAACTATTGTGCATGGAAAACAACAAGAATAATCACGTGTTTTTATATTTATTTATTTATACAAAATGGAATAAAATATTCATAGTAGTTACAATATACATATTTAATCGAATTGCTAGTTGTTTTGTTGTCATTCGAGATAGCGCTGTTCTGTTATGAAAGACAATCTGATTGGCTCAGTCTGCACTGCATATCTCGTCAGGCCTTCAATCATATCCTTTTATTTCTTGCATCTTAATTTAGTTCAGTTCAGTTCTTATCGTGATTATCTACTATTTGATGTCTTGACAATTCTCAATGTTTTTAGACATATTAAAATAATATTGTGTTTATTTAAAAATTGACTGAACATTATTATTATTATGCACTTTTTGAAGAAAAATGTTTAATAATTTATTTTTTTGATAATGTTCAGAATTCAGAATTATGTTTGAAATTCCAGATAGGGTTAGTTGCAAAACATTTTTTGCTGAAAATAAAATTATAACACTCTCTAATATTTTCATTTTTTACAATTTAGTTTCCGTTAAAGAGAATCTGAATAAATTTGTTCCTTGCAACTCAATCCATGGGTATATCACCAGACAATCCAAAGATTTATATATTCCTTAAGCCAGGCTATCAAAATTTATCAAAAGTTATAAATACTTGCAAATAAAACTATTTAATAAACTTCCAATATATTTTAGAAATCAGGAAAGTATTCATTTGTATAGGTCAAAATTAGGGATGTGTCGGTTCCACTTTTTTTCGGTTCGGTTCCGGTTCGGTTCTTACACTGGATCGGTTCTCGGTTCTCGGTCCCGAGTACTTATGCTATAAATTCATTGATCGAAACAAAACAGTTGTAAGTGGCAGTACCTAAAAATATTGAAAGTCAAGGAAATGAATAATCAGATTTTATTGACAGAAATATTTTATTTAAACACCACGTAAGGATTCAATGTTCAAACCTAAACACAAGTAAACAGTAATTATTTGAAGACTTAATTCCTTAATTGAAAAGTACATATTGGCGGCAACAATTAACATTAAGAATTGGTAATTGCAGCGTAAGTTAATTATTGCAAAACGGTAATTTTACAAATCAATAACCAATTAAGCAGAATTAAAAAGAACAACAATTAACGCTGACCAATCAATGTTACAGTTTTAAATATTGGCTGAAAAGTGAAAAGTAACAGTTATATTTGAAAGATGTAAACACGGTAAACCCTTAAGCATAATAATTAATAATTATTACAAACAGCAAAATATTAATACAAAAATTGTAAACAACATAAATATGAAATGAGGAGTGATATTTGTAATCATAGCACAGATTTGATTTGTAATCAAATAAAATGCATAACCATGTTAGGCCTATTTTTTTTCAAACCGTCCATAACAAGAATGATTTATTCTAGGTTTCGGTTCAAAAATACCAACATTTTTACTCTGTCAGGATCTAACCTGTTTCGTTTTGTGTCCGAAATGTTTCCCGCAACACTAAAAAGCCTTTCACTGAAAGTTGTGCAAGGTGGCATGCACAAATATTTGTACGCCAACTTACGCAGATGTTTGTGGGAGCTTACTGACCAATACTCGGCGATTTTTTGGCCCTGTTTAGGGTCAAAAGTTTTTTCATTCAAATAAGCGTTGACTTCTGATTCCAAGGACTTTTCCTGATCTCCATCACCAGTATGTTCTTCCTGGCCAAACGCTTCCATGTACTGTGCCCAAAAACCTTTCCTTTTCAGTTGGGTAGGCCTATCTTCTTGTGGAGCCGGTGGTGGTGCTGCTTCCGACGTCGGAGTTGAAAATGTCTTCATTTCCTCCAGGACATGAATCTTTGCCATTTCAAAATTATCTTTCTTTTTGAACGGTGTTGACTTGAACCTGTTAATGACACATAATCTGTATTTATTCTCTTTCCCAAATGTTTTGATATAAGGTTAGAATTTTTTACTAGATTGCTCACAATAGCCTAAATTTATTTTTTTAAATTGGTATTCATTATAATTTATTTTTTATGGCATTTAATATGATTAACGAACATTTTAGGTCTAGTAATGGTATGCTGATTAAAAATAGGGGAGGATTGGGACAATCAAAACGAATGTTTTAAGAACGAATAAGGAATGAAACATTTAAGTCTATTAATATGTCAAGGAACAACACCATAATTAAGTTTATATAATACTTTAATCAAATTAGTTTTCACTTGTCAGAGTTTTTAATTTTTAGATTTGATCAGTTATATATGAACTAAACTTAGGCCTAAGTAAAAAAGAATTCAGTAGGTAACTTAACACTTGTGTAACTAACAAAATGTGTTATACCTGGGATCAAGTAGTGTCGCACATGCATAAGTTCGATTTTCCTCCATGTCCATAAATCTTCTCTTCAATGAAGCTAATAAGTCATTTTTCAGACCTTGTAGTCCTGATCCCTGAGGTGCACGAGTTTCCAATACATGTTGAATTGTGTGTATCATTGGTATAATCTGAGAAGAATGAAGAAAATGTTTCATAGGCTACATTCAAACCATAATAAAAAAATATTTTTTACATCCATTTAATTAAAACATGGTCAACATTGAACTTTTCAGGTAGCCTACAGTAAATTTAAACCTAGCCTATTTTACTTATACGCTGAATTAAAAAAAGATGAAAACTTTATGTTTATCTATTATTTAGTCCCCAAATCCAACATCTTAGAAAAAAGTTGTTCCTCTGTTAATGTTATATGGTAGGCTATAACTACAAACAGTGTCTATAATAAAGAAACATGGACGATATTTAGCGAAATATTTTCAGGCCTACCAGTACTTACAGATGTGGTAAGTAAAATGCACAAGATATTTTTTTTACCCTGCCATCAATCTTTTTTTATCATAGGCCTAACTCATTTAAATTTAAAGCTACCGGTAGCTAGTCAGTTTAGGGATATAATATAGTAAAACTTAATTATTTCTTTGCAAATGGTAAAATGATTCAAACTCAAATAAGAAAGCCAATACTGTACCTATATTTTCTTGTTAATGAAGTTCTTTGTGTTAGCCCTATAAATCAAATTAAAAACAGAGACTAAGGGACATTTGTGGTCATGGTTAAGAAATGTTAGGTCTAGGTCAGGTTAGGTACCTTGACTTATCGTAGTTTTCAACAGAACACATTCATAAGTTGAGTGGATAGGTTTCATACTGATAGGCCTGCCTACTTGAGCTTTGAAAATGAAATAGGCCTAAGAATAAATTTACTTCTGATTAGTCCAACAATTAGGCCCTATTTATTTTTTGAAAATATTTAAGGTGGGTTAGTGTATAAAGGAAAAAGTGTAATATAACTTAGGCCTACCTCAGAAATTGTCGATGTTTCCTTACTAAGCTGCAAGGTTGCATTCTCAAAAATTTCCAAGATGTCGACTGCATACTCAATAGTTTTCCAATCTTCATTGGTAATTTCAGTGGACAGCTTAGTCTCAGGATTGCTCCCAACAAGAATTAGAGCTTGCTTCTGTTCATGCAAGCGTTTTAGCATGTAAAAAGTGCTATTCCATCTAGTTGGTTCGTCTTGAATGAGTTTGTGACTTGGGACACCTAACTGAGCCTGGTAACTTTTCAGTAACTTAGTGTTTTTCGCAGAATGCTTAAAGCTACCAACAATTTTCTTGCATTTGGTCACAACATTAGAAATCCTGGCATTGTTAAAGAAACCATCTTTGATCACTAATTGAAGTGTGTGTGCCACACAGGGGATTGCTGTGAACTCGGACAAATTCAGTGCACACGTAATATCGGGACCATTGTCCCTAACCACAGCAACTACCTTTTGCTTGATACTCCATTGATCCAAAACCTTTATTAAAAAGGTCAGTAAATTGGTTCCAGTATGGCTTACTTCTGGAAAAGGCACAACCTCTAAACACCTATGAAATCTGGCGTTGTTAGAAAAAAAATGGGCAGTAATGGCCATAAAATCTACTTGAGCGACATTTGTCCACATGTCGGTAGTAATAGCCACACTTTCTACCTCCATCATCTCGGCCTGCACTTTCTTCATTGTTTCTTCGTACATTTCAACAAGTATTTTATTAGTAAACGTTTTCCTCGTAGGAATTGTATATCTAGGTTCCAAGTAATTTAAAAGACGTCGAAAACCTTTGTTTTCCACCACAGATAAAGGTTGAATGTCTAAACAAATCATTTCTGCAACCAATTTATTTATGTGTAACGCTCTGCTGTCGGTTGTTTTGAATTTTTGCATCCTGTCAGCCATAGTTGGTAAGGTGATTTGCTTCGACCTTTTTAGTTTTATCCGTTTAGGATAACTAGGCCTAGCACCCCTGGGTGATGTTGTCGATGAGGACAGATTTTCTTCCATTTCCTGTAATGGATCAGGGTCATCTACATCTTCAATTGGTGAAAATTGTGACTGATGTAGGCCTAGGCCTAAAGGATCTCCATGTGTAGGTGTATCAACATCAAGCCTCAAAGGTGTGCTTGAAGATGGCCTACTCACAGTTAGTAATCCTACAAATGAACCCTCTGATTGGTCGGAATTAGAAGAAATAGGCCTACTTGTATCATCTTGGCATGTAGGCCTAGGCCTTACCTTATTTAGGTCATGTTCGATATCCAAAGTAACACTAAATTGAGACTGGCTTGAAGTACTACTAGGCATAGGTCTTATCTCTGAAGTCATAACTTGGCTGGAAGCACCACTAGTACAAGGCATAGGCATCATAGGCTTACCTGACTTCTGCAGAAATCCATCAAGAGTTTTAGCTTGACCAATACTCTCGTTTTTAGAGCTGGGCTCAGGAGCAAGATTAATTTTATGAGTTCTTAGGTGCTTCATCAAGTTTGAAGTGCTTTTAGAGTTTGTCATGCACCCGCCTCTTGAAATTAATTTTGAGCAAATATTGCACTTGGCAAACTTATTATTAACCTCGTCGATCTTGAAGTAAGACCAAACAACGGAAGACATCTTAATAGGTAGGTATAACCTCAACTCTGATCACCAAACACTGAAGGAGATTTAACATTGCACAATGCACACAGACCGGCTCCTCTACCCGTGCATACGCATACGCAACACAGAGAAAGGGACCTAGAATCATGGTGGAAGGAAAATACATAGGTGTGCTAATTCCCGTCATATTCTGACGTCACTCGGATTGCAAACAAAAGATCACTTGATTCTTGATTGTAACTGTCAAATTAGTATATTTGTTATTTGTTTTGATTTGGTTGTTATTGTTTTTATAATATTTTCAAAATGGTTGAATGTGTTCATTATAAAAACAATAACAACCAAACCAAAACTCTCTCTGTTTTAAGCTCTTTCCACCACCTATTGAATCTCACACAATTAAGAATGGCTTTACGATATGTTAACAGTCATAGATGAAATAAAAGTGTGTGAACAGTTTTTACAATAAAAAAATAAAAATTATATTGACTTTTATTTCATATTGATTGAGAGTAATGCTTGCCACTTACCTGTATGAACTATCCTCCCATTGCAATATTGCATTCCTTTTTTCTTTTTTCAATTTGCTGCAGACGGCTGCACATGACGTAACTTATTCTTTACCTGATACTTCGCATCAATTATGTAAAAGTCAAACAACAGTTTTAAAAAGATAATAAGGAAGGAGTAGGAGGTTGTGGTAAATAAATAGATCAATATTGTTATTTTATTTGTTCCTTCCTATTTGTTGAGTGCTGATGCATAGTCGATTCAATCAGCTGTCGGCGTCGGCTTTACGGCTTATCTTCAGCTGTTTGATCTGTTGACTTACGTAAATTGATTGAATAATTCATATGGAATTGCACAATACCTACACAAAAACAATTATAATTATAATAATATTTGCTCTTAAATTTTATATTCACTATTTAATATAAATGGTATTGAACAGTAGTAATTTAAAATGTAATGGTGATGCAAATTAATTAGAACGATCAGATCCAGGAACCGGGACCGAGGAATCGACATTTTGGCATCGACCCTCGGTTCCGGTTCCTTTGCTAAGAACCGGTGGAACCGAGAACCGACTTTTGGAACCGATACATCCCTAGTCAAAATTATCAGATTGGCTTACAAGTCGTGCTTTTTATTCAGTTGATGAGTTTTTGCAGAATGAAGATTTTTTAACGCTTAAATGTGAGGCCAAGCAGTCTTGATGATTCTTTGTTCTTGTTATGGTCTTTTCCCTGTTAATTTTAAAGTTTTTATTATTACTGATGCTTTATCCTTTTAACTTTATTTTAACATTTTCTGTAGAATATTTAATATTTTATTTAACATATGTAACAAAACATGTTGACCTTGTCTATTGTAATGTTTATATTACCAAACGACAATAAAGATTTATTATTATTATTATTATAAGGTGACGCTAGGAAAAGCTCGGCTCGAAAAAGCTCGAGCTCGAAAATATTTTAAAAAGCTCGGCTCGGCTCGGCTCGAGGTTGAAAATCACTATTCGCACACCCCTAGTGCCCGTTCTACGCTCGGGGATCTTATAGTAGTCAGTTGAAAACTTCTTATATTAAGAACAGCAGTTATTTGCATATTTGCAAATATGCTGGCAAAACTATTATATATAAACCTTCGCAAATTCAGTATCTGACAGTTCAAGCCAAAATAAATGCTTCGCAATTAAATGTCACCCGGATCGTGTTGGTCCATATGTTAAAACCAATGATTAAACTAAAAAATGCTTTATAGATCCATGAGGCATAGCCCTAAGGTAGGCATATAATTGAAAGTTACTTTCCACAATGGTTAAACTTATTTAAAGTACTACCTTGTAAGGAAGTTTTCCCTTTTGAAGAAGAAAAGTCCCTTTCACACTCCTACTAAGTATTTCTAGCTTTTTCCTTAGAGGGTTTTTTTCCTGGGTTAGTGACAACTCAGTGACTGCTACAAACTGATCTGGTTTATTATGCACTATTTACAATATTTACAAAAGTTTCTTTGAAACATAATGGCCTTGTAGTACAAAGGCAACTATCAATTTAGCGTCCAGTGCTCAACGTCGTACTGTCCCTTGTGATCCTCTGGAAAGCCGTCCCAACGGCGTACCTCCCAGAGAGCAACCTATCCTTGCTGTCACCTCTCGTCGGCTGTCTGGCTCCAACTGCCCAGCCTTCTAATAGTGGTGTAGACTCGGCGCAATGTGCAGCGCTGTCTCCTGCTGACACCTCTCGTCGGCTGTCTGGCTTCAACTGCCCAGCCTTCAAATAGTGGTGTAGCCTCACCACATGCAGCGCTGTCTCCTGCTGACCGCTCTCGTCGGCTGTCTGGCCTAAAACAGAATCTCCTATTATAACCCGTCCACTATTGCACGGAGTGGAAGGGGAAGATTCAAAGAATGGCTGGGGGCTCAACACGCCCGTCCAGCCAGTGCGGGCTCAACACGCCCGTGCACTAAGGTGCTGGGGCTCAACACGCCCATCTCGTACCGGGGAGAGGAAAAGTACTGGGGGCTCAGCACGCCCGTCCTGTACCGAAGAAAGGAAAAAGTACTGGGTGCTCAACACGCCCGTCCTGTACCGGAGGGAAAGGTAAAGAAGGAGCGCTGGGGGCTCAACACGCCCGTCCAGCCAGTGCGGGCTCAACACGCCCGTGCACTAAGGTGCTGGGGCTCAACACGCCCATCCCGTACCGGAGAGAGGGAAAAGTACTGGGGACTCAGCACGCCCGTCCTGTACCGGAGAAAGGAAAAAGTACTGGGGGCTCAACACGCTCGTCCTGCACTAGAGGGGGAAGGGAATAGTACTGGGGGCTCAAAACGCCCATCCAGCACCCAGGGAAGGGTCACTGGGGCCTCAACACGCCCATCCGGTGGGGTCGGGCCCGAAGGCCCAACTGACTTATCTGCTTAAGTGTCCTCCCTTATATACACGGATTTTACCCCCAAAGGGTGGGGGAAAGTACTCAGTACTGGGCCCTGGTACTGAGCTCCTTCCCCAGCACATTGTCCTGAGAGAATTTACCTGAGTGAAAAGTACTGGGGGAAAAGTGCTGAGGGAAAAGTGCTGAGTGAAAAGTGTTGAGGGAAAAGTACTGGGGAAAAACGGCACAATTCTATGTATAGCTTGATCACTTCGTTACAACCTGAACCTTACCATTTAATACTTTATTCCGGTTGACATTTTCATTATCAAAGGTGCTCTTGTCAATTCCGCGAAACACTGAGAAATAAGGACATTAATGCGTTACCAACAGACATACACACAAAAATACAGAATTTAATTAAGGAATTTGTTACGCTTTAAGCATTACAAAGTACATTTAAAATTAGTATTTGAAATCTTTGTTAATGTCATCAAATTTTATCATAACAATTTATATTTGCTTGGACCGAAGATTACAGGTCGTCGAAAAGGTTGTTATGAATAAATAGGTAGGCGTACGTACGTACCCATGGGCAATGGGCCTATTGGCTGTATGGTCCAGCGATTGCATCACACGGTGAGTAGAAACAGTGACACATTGGAAAAGCGAGTTTAACATCATCCGTAAACCTCTGTTACAATCACACTGCAGTTGTGATTTTTTTACAACCGCCATTGAAGCGCCGTCAATGAGTGGAAACATTGTTTGTAAGCTATTGGCGATGATCATTAAGTGTCCCAGCCCTATACAACACTGATTCAAGGTCTTCTTTCTGGTTATCAAAACTCAAGAACAATTTTATCCGCAAAGAATTTCTGGTTACTGGCCTGGATGATGCCTGGTTATTTAATTTTATTTACGGTTACACTATAATATTGCACTTGCGATTAATTAAATACGTTATGTAAGAAAAACGTTTTTAATCTCACTTGGTTGGGATTTGCTTTCAAAACGTGATCGGAAATGGTTGCGGTATATGTAAACATCATATGTAAACACATGACAGCTAGAAAAAATAATCTTGATCCAAACAGCTGTTTGTTATTTCATAGATGATTATGTGATAAAAGTTTAACGAAAATTTGACAAAAATCGCACAAAACTGCATTTTTGAATGTCTGTAATTTTATTTACAAAGTAGTGAGGCCATATTTTAATGGCTAAAGACACTCTCGCCAATCCAGTGAATACATTAAAATGGCTTGGATCTTGATAGGTACTCTCGTTTTCATGGAGAAGATAGCGTAAAATGCCATCTTGAGTGTTACAGACAGACAGACAGACAGACAGACGGACAGAAATAGACATAAGACTTGTTTCTGCTTCTTTAATGTATAAAACGTAAAATAACCTAAAAATATATAATTCTGAGCAATCTACAGACAAAACTCTAATTTTATTTATATAGATTTAAATATAATTAGTGGAAAGTAAATGAAGATACGTCTTATAATACTTAAATTAAAACATATATTTACGCTTATACTGTTACTCACAAGACGGTAAATATACAAAAGATGGTAAGTGGTGTCCAATCGAAATCGATCACCACTTACCATCTTTTGTATATTTACCGTCTTGTGAGTAACAGTATAAGCGTAAATATATGTTTTAAGTGTTATAAGACTTATCTTTACTTACTTTCTGTAAATTTAATAACACGTACAATGCTGATCAAGAAGTCATATAATTAGTTTAACGAGTACTTAGATTTGCTGCAACAGGGAACAGGGAGGGTAAAAGTGGTTTTTTTCTTATGTTCAGTAAGAAATAAATGCATTTTCCAAATTTCATCAAAATATGTTCATAAACAAGCAAACTACAACTGTTTACTTGTTCTCCATAAGAATAACATGGGAATTTTAAATGTACAATTTTTTTGAATTTTCTCCGTAACCATTAGGCGCATAATAACTCTTCAATATACTAAATTATATGTTTTTTAAGCTCTACAAAATGGTTCGGAAAGAAAGTGCTAATTTTTATGTTTTTTGGGTCAAAAATGGGAAAAACTAATTGTTATCCCATAAAACCCTCCGTTCCCATAGTTCGATCATGCTGGTTCGCAAACTCGTTTGAATAAATGTAGCTTTACACATTTATACCAAATTTCATCAAAACCGGATCATTTTTGCTTTAATTATCGTGCTAACGGACATATATAATATATATATGAATTTGAACGGATTGTGTTTTTGGCCTCTAGGGACCTCAAAACCAAAAAGTAAATCGGTCCTGGGTCTAGGTCTTACCATGAGTACTACGGTAATAGCTTATTCCCTATATGGGAAATTCGCTAAAACATAACAAGTAATAAAATAGTATACATTTTTTCTTCTTCTCTAACATACAGTCACACACACACATGCACCTTCTGCTGCATCTGGGCCTAATGCACGCCATTCTGCCAAGCCACGGCCATCCAGTCAAGGTAGGAAATATTCTTTCAGCGCCACCTTCATTCGGGATTTTGGTTTTCTATGGATTTGATGAGGAAGGTATGGAGTTCCATAGGCGGCATGCTGTTACTATAAACTATTCATTATAAACATTTGTTCTGTGATGAGGAATGAGATGCGTGGACGAGCCAAAGCGGGTATCCCTTGCACCTCTTTCATTCAAAAATTTAAATTCTTTGCAAGATAATTTGGATTTTGAAGATTGTTGGCAGATTTGAAAGTATTCATATTTTTCTGATGTCCTCTATATTCAAAATGGATTCAATAATGTAATCCTCTTTAGGGAATGAGGACCACTCCAAGTCACAGCTTACTGTTACAACACAGGCCTATGTTGCTGTTTTATTTTTATTTTTTTTCTAAATAATATGCTGTTTTCTAATAATCATTCTGTCTACTAATCTGTCATCTGTCGTTGCAGGCAAAGTCATTTGGTCGAGGTCGTGGCAGAGGCAGAGGTCGAGGACTGGGCAGAAGTCGCGGCAGAGGGCTTGGTCGAGGGTTTGGCCGTTCAGTCAACATCACTTCTGCGCTGCTGCCTAGAAGAGGCCGACCTGGCCGTCCTCCCAAGATTTGTAAGTGAAATTTTCTTTAAGAATAATTTTAGGTACTTCTCCAATATAGAGAGGCCAAAACTAGTACAGCTCGCTGTAGCAGTTGTGCTTGGTTAGTTTTTAATTTTTTTTTTACTGCTTCTTAATCAGTAATCCTTAGTCCTATAAAATTCAGTTTGAACATTGATATTAACTCCCATCACCAAATGCCCTCAAGATCCATTTTTGACAATTTAACATTAGAATAAAGAAAAAATGGATAATGATAGCCAATTGATTAACCTTTGACTGCTGCGCCCTTGACTACATCTTGAGTGCACTTTGAAGGCTGTGCGGGAGCTCTAGAAGCTTTAGGTGATGCTGGGTAAGTAATGTCTGTATATTGTAACCCCCTATGGCATGCCATACTGTGGTGGCCTCCCCTAAGGGGAAAATACCCAAGTTCAGTCATTTTAATTCAAACAATTGAGCTAAATGTTGAAACCTCAGTGCAACAACGGTGTGTTTAACGTAGTATTTCCTCTTCCTGTGTGAGTGACTACAACGTTGGTTGTCACAGGTGTCACCAGCACTGAGGGAGAGATGCAGCTCATCAGCAATGCTCCAGTTCAGAGACTCAGGAAGGTCAACAACTTCTCTATGGCAGCCAAACTACGCTGGCAGAAGCGACACGCCAAACTACTGCAGGAGAAACAACAAGCTGCCACTGCAGTCAACAAGTATGTACAACTCGTGTCTTCTGTTTTTTTTATTATTACACTTACCCGCTTTGTGTTTGCTGGTTACCATTTACTTGGGTTCAACTTAATTAGATGATAGACTATTGTGTGTTATAAACATCAGAGTCATAAACTTCAGTCATCTTTTGATGAAAGTCAACATCGGATATGTCTCTTGTAATAAAAAAACTTATCACTAACCTAATCTTGCACACGGCAAGAGATTCGATAGTTAAAAACTCACAGTGAAACTTACATGTATAGAGTACTTACAGCTACAGAGCTGCAAATTGTGAAATTCTGTTCACAAACGATACCAGTAAGTGGCAAGGAGCTTCTTTGCGGCGTACAAGCAAACTAAGATTTATACGCAAAAACGGCCCTTACTTTAAAAACAGCCCTCGTATTAAAAATATTGTATACTAGCTGTGTGCCCGTTCTACGCACAGGGATCTTGTATAGTCAATGATCTTATCCTAGTCAGTTGAAACCTTCTTATATTAAGAACAGCAGTTGGTTTCCATGTTTTCAGATATGCTAGCAAAACTATTAGGCTATATATAAACCTTCGCAAATACAGTATCTATCTGACAGTTTTATTTAAGCCAAAACAAATGCTTCGTAATCAAATGTCACCCGGATCGTGTTGGCCCATATGTTAAATCCAATGATTAAACTAAAAAATGTTTTATAGATCTATGAGGCATAGCCCTAAGGTAGGACTATAGTTGAAAGTTACTTTCCACAATGGTTAAAAGTATTTAAGGTACTACCTCAACCTCACAATTCAACACTTTATTCGGGTTGACATTTTCATTATCAAGGTGCTCTTGTCCTTTCCGTGAAACACTGAGAAATAAGGACATTAATGCGTTACCAACAGACATACACACAAAAATACAGAACCTAATTAGGGAATTTGCTACGCTTTAAGCATAACAAAGTACACATAAAATTAGCATTTGAAATCTTTGTTAATGTCTTTAAATTTTATCATACCAATTTATATTTGCTTGGACCGTAGATGACCCGAAATGCTGTCGAAATGACGGCTTACTATATGAAATGAAGTACTATAGACGATTTAACTATTGACTATATATATATATAGTCAATGGTAGCAACAGAAAGTGACACATTGGAAAAGCGAGCTTAGCATCATCCGTAAACCTCTGTTACAACCTCTGTTCACTGCAGTTGTGATTTTTCACTTTACACTTTACACAACCGCCATTGAAACGTCCTCAATGAGTGGAAACCTTGTTTCTTGTTTCTAAGCTATCGGCGACGATCATTAATAAATTAAAGTTTCCCAGCCGTATACAACACTGATTCGAGGTCTTCATTCTGGTTATCAAAACTCAAGAACAATTTTATACACAAAGAATCTCTGGTTCCTGACCTGGATGATGCCTAGTTATTTAATTTTATTTACGGTTACACTATATTATTGCACTTACGATTAATTAAACCTGTTATGTAAGAAAAACGTTTTTAATCTCATTTGGTTGGGAATTGCTTTCAAAACGTGATCGAAAATGGTTGCGGTATTTGTAAACAACATTTGTAAATATATCGGTGACAGCTAGTTAAAATAATCTTGATCCAAACATCTGTTTGTTATTTCATAGATGTGATAAAAATTGGACAAAACTTGTCAAAAATCGCACAAAACTTCATTTTTGAATGTCCGTAATTTTATTTACAAAGTAGTGAGGCCATATTTTAATTTCTAAAGACACTCTCGCCAATCCAGTGAATACATTAAAATGACTTGGATCTTGATAGGTAATCTCGTTTTCCTGGATAAGATAGCGTTAAATGCCATCTTGAGTGTTACAGACAGACAGAAAGACAGACAGAAATAGAGATAGGACTCGTTTCTGATTTTTAATTTTTTTTTTACGTAAAAATAACCTAAAAATATATAATTCTGAGCAATGTACAGACAAAACTCTAATTTTATTTATACAGGGTGAATTTTAAATGAGTTCCCCCCTACTTTTTTCTACATTTCTTAAGATATCATCTCCGGACCACGTCAAATCATTGTTGAGTAGTAAGTACTTCATTTTGACTGGGTATCCATTTTTGGCCGCCATCTTGGATCCGCCATATTGGATACAAAGTTTTTTTTTCAAATGTAAAGGTAGGGTTGTGACCCATTATTTCAAACTAGAATTTTACGGTGATAACAATGCCGCAATCAGTTTTAAAAAATCTTGATCCGTTCTAAAGTTATGAGGAATTTTTATAACTTTATTTTTAGCCCATTTTAACATTGTGCATTAACAAACTAAGACCATAATCTCAAAATAGTGCTAGATAAAGATAATTATACACCACCATTCATTGTCGACATATTTTCACTTGGTTATGACGGATGTAGTTTTTTCAGCCGCCATCTTGGATCCGCCATTTGAAATGTGATCAATTAATTTAAATATGAAGGTGGTGTTGTGACCCATCATTTTGATCTAATTTTTTATGCTGAACCCAATGCCGCAATCCGTTTTTCATTTGCATCTTTGGATTTTGAAATATTGAAATTTTAAATAAGAGTATTTTAATATTTCATCAAGAAAGCTTGATACCCAAAAACGGATTGCGGCATTGAGTTCAGTATAAAAAAGTAGTTCAAAATGATGGGTCACAACACCACCTTCATATTTAAATAAATTGATCACATTTTCAAATGGCGGATCCAAGATGGCGGCTGAAAAAACTACATCCGTCATAACCAAGTGAAAATATGTCGACAATGAATGGTGGTGTATAATTATCTTTATCTAGCACTATTTTGAGATTATGGTCTTAGTTTGTTAATGCACAATGTTAAAATGGGCTAAAAATAAAGTTATAAAAATTCCTCATAACTTTAGAACGGATCAAGATTTTTAAAAACTGATTGCGGCATTGTTATCACCGTAAAATTCTAGTTTGAAATAATGGGTCACAACCCTACCTTTACATTTGAAAAAAAAACTTTGTATCCAATATGGCGGATCCAAGATGGCGGCCAAAAATGTATACCTAGCAAAAATGAAGTACTTACTACTCAACAATGATCTGACGTGGTCCGGAGATGATATCTAAATAAATGTAGAAAAAAGTAGGGGGGGAACTCATTTAAAATTCACCCTGTATAGATATCAAGAGTTCTGTTCATCCAACAACCGTCTTTACAACAAACACACATATTTTTTTATATGATGATGTTTTCTTAAGTGTTTGATTTTTCCACTACAAAGGGATTTTCTTAAATGTAAAAAAATTTACAATTTGTGCCCGGGACCCCATGTCATTTATTGAAGACCAATGAAGGGCAGCTGGATCCAATTTCAAACCGTCAAAAAGCTATTGCATTTTATCTCAAAATTCTACCCTAAAGCTCAACAACAATTTCAATCATTCCGATTCTCAATATTTTTGTTTCATTTTGTTCAAAACGGCTGATAGTTGTTTGACCATGGATGAATATTTTTTTGTAAAATATATATTAAATTTTGACTTCATCTAAAATATATGTAGCCTACTGTAGATATTGTAATTTTTGAGAGAGGTTTGTATGTATTGTGTGTGGTACAGACCTGTTGAGAGTCTGGAGGGGATGCCATGTTTGTCGCCAGAGGTACACTCAGCTCCACCAGTAGCACCTCCACTGTCTCCACCCGCCTTGCTCTCCTCAGCCGTGCTGCCCAAGAAACGGGGACGTGGTCGACCACGCAAACTGCCTTCACCTACTCCACAGGTACTATCTCCCTCCACTAATGCCATTTTCACAATTTAAAAATTATAATCTTTACTAGTAGGTCAAAAGTTTGTTTGGTATGAACATTTTTTATTCACAGTATCCAATATATCTATTACTCAAAAGTTGTTATTTTAATTTAGTTTTGTAGGAAAAAGTACTTGGCAAGTAATTGAGAATACATTTAATTAAAAGGAATGGATACAAACTAACTTACTCAAGAAATAAGTTTCAGGCATTTGACAGCTCAGAAAAAATCACATCTCATATTCAATCAAAATCAAATAAATCACCCTTGTACTGTAAACGCACAGTGTACTATACTATTAAACACCTACGGTAATAGTTTTTTTTTCACTTTGAATAGTCTGTCATAAGATAAAGATTCTATAAGTGTTGTTTATTATTTTATTTTAAACCAACAGAGTAACGCAAAGTAGCTACAGTGTAAATTCTTATTTACTACAGTTTTTAATTTGTCTGTGTGTTTACAGAAAATGGAAGAAGATTCAAGAGAGGTTAAAAATTTGAACGTTGAACCAGTTGAAACAGTCAACAATTCTAGTCCGGAGACGTCAGAGGAGATTGCAGATGTTGCGAAGAAGGAGTTTGAAAGCAAAGAAATGTATGAATCTCCGATTGCCAGGGAAGAAAAGAGTGAAGAGGATCAAAGTGATGAACCAGCCTCAACAAAAGAAAAGGAAGAAGAACCTGAAAAAATGGAGGTTTGTGAGGAATCTGATAAGGAAGATTCATCTCCAGTTGAGAGTCAACCTTCACCAAAGCAGGACTCTCCTTCTGAACGACCTGCCTCTCCTGTCGCTCAAACACCTCCTCCACCTGAACTGAAGGAGGACAGTCGTCCACCATCACCCCTACTGCAGCCGGTTAGTACATTCTCTTATGGATAGACATACATGAATTTTCAGTGAAAAAATATTTATTTTCAATCATATTTTAGAAGAACCTGTATTGCTGGAAATGTCAGTGAGCTGCTTCACTTGCCTATTTCATAATTTTACTTGCAAAATCATATTGTTAAGTATGTTACCTATTTTATAATATTGACTCGCCTTTGGCTCGGCACCACTCCCCTTTTTATTTGAGGCACCAAGGGAAAGTGCCTCGGGAAACAGGATGTTTTCAAAAAATGTTTTCTGTGTTAACAACGAATGATAGCTTGGCAGTTGCAAATTTCATATAGGAGTTTTTGATTTATCGGGGCATCAAACAGGCCTTTACATGTTAAGAGTCCCGATGTAAATTTGATGCTCTAATGGAATACTTAAATTCTCTAATGCATTAATTGTAAAACTTTTTTAGTTTAACTAATATAACAATAATGATACAATCTCAGGGGTTAAGGGAGTAACAATAATTTAGATAGTCTTAGGCCGGGGCCACACGTGGCGGATCATCCGCGCGGCTTATGATCGTACGATCATAAGCCGCGCGACGATGTCCCGGCCACACGGGGCGGATGAACCGCTTCCGGTTGAGGTTTCCCAGCCTACGTACTGAGATTCTAACATGATTTTATTCACTCGTTCTCGTTGTAGTCATGGAAGAAACACATATGTTAGTTTGTGCATTAGAAGCGTGTGGTGAGCTAGAGCCTAAAGCAAACCGAAATCATTGGGTCCATCATTTCATAACCGATAAACCATTTGTGTTCCAAACCTTGTACGAGCACATGCGAAACCATAGTTCGGAGTTTTTTTTGTTACTATCGCATGTAGATAGCATCGTTTTAGACGAGCTACTTCAATTGCTTTGACCGCATATAACTAAGGAAGATATACTGATGAGAAATGTACAACATGTATCAAACATTTTACACCTAGAAACCGAAATGCACAAGCACAAACTAAAAAAATACCACTACAAATGATTGAAAATGAGCTCCAACCGCGCGGACAATCCGTATCGTGTGGCCACTCTCATAAGACTACGTGTGTCATCCCCTCCAACGCGGCTTATGATCGCGCGGACAATCCGCGACATGGCGCGGACAATCCGCCCAGGCGGCTTAGGATCGCCCCGTGTGGCCACTCTCATTTGATTCAATGTGTTGTCGGACCACGCGGATCATCCGCGTGGTCCGTCCGCGCGGATGATCCGCGTCGTGTGGCCCCGGCCTTAGGCCCCCTGCTGAGGGAGGGGGTTAATATCATTGGTACGAAGAAAAATGGGCCTCCTTTGGGGGGCTGACCTCGCTGCAATAAAATTTTTAAATATCTTGAACGTCTATGAACAGTTTAACATCAATTTCCTAAAGAGGGAACTTTGAAGGAGGGGGGCTTAAGATGGGATTGGTCACTATATATTTTTTCCATTTATTTAAGCTCATGACCACTCACTCTATTACCTCCCCTGTAACAGCTGATCTAAGTACTCATAAAATTAAATAATATTCAAATTGGGAATAAATCATGCAATATTTCGGACAACAATTTAAAAATACCCCCGTCGCAGCAAACCTGCATACTAAGCGAATTTCCATTTACCCGGCTTGATTTCTACTAAAATATTTCCATAAATATAAATGACTAGCTGAACCCGGCAGACGTTGTCTTGCCTTTGACTATTTATAATTTAAGTACCGTTACGTTTAATTTTCAAGATGATCTCGTTCGCATGGCTCAATCACGTCCTGGTTGAAGTTCGTTCGCTACGCTCACTCACCTTTAGGTTGGAGCTCGTTCGCTACGCTCACTCACCTTTAGGTTGGAGCTCGTTCGCTGCGCTCACTTGCCTTTCAGGTTAGCTCGTTCGCTACGCTCACTTGCCTTCAGGTTAGCTCGTTCGCTACGCTAACTCGCCTCCAGGTTGAAGTTCGTTCGCTACGCTCACTCACCTTTTGGTTGCAAATTGGCAGTTGTCATAAATGTAAAAGAAATAATAGTGCTGCACCCTGTTGGCAATCCTTGTAACTTTAAAGCTATTGAACATCATAGAACAGAACCAACTTGTTTAATTGAAACAGCTGTTAAGATTCATTAATTCCATTTCTCATAAGGTTAACATGGGAAACTCCAGAGCCACTGGGCCGGAGCCGATTGGACGGATCACGAAATTGATGGTGTATAAACCTATTCCATGACATTCTACACGTATGTACCAAGTTCCGTGGCAATCGGTTCAGCGGTGTCCGAGTTTATCACCCCCAAACAAACAAACAAACAAATATATATACAAACATCCTCTTTTATACTTATAGATTTATTCCCAATTTAAATAACATTCGAATTAACAAGTGCTTAGGTTTGCTGCTACAGGGAAGATGTTGAGATGTGTTTTTTTCAATTGAAATATTGATAGCTTAGTATGAAATAAACCAAATTGCCAAATTTGATTAAAATATATCCATATTCAAGCAAACTAGAACAGTTTATTTATTCTCCATAAGAATAACATGGGAATTTTAAATTTTCTCCGTAGTCAATGAACATTCAAAAACACTTCAATATACCAAATTATTTGTTTTTTTAAGCTCTTCAAATTGGTCTAGAGAGAAATTTAGAAATTTTAAGTTTTTAGGGTCAAAAATGAGAAAAACCCATTTTTACCCCATAAAACCCCCCATAAACCCCTGATCCCATGGTCCGATTATGCTGGTTCGCGAACTCGTTCGAATAAATGTAGGTTTACACGTTTGTACCAAATTTCATCAAAATCTGATCAATTTTGCTCGAGTTATCGCGCTAACGGACACATATATAAATATATATATATATGAATTTGAACGGATGGTGTTTTTGGCCTCTGGGGACCTCAAAACGAAAAAGAAAATCGGTCCCGGGTCTAGGTCTTACCATGAGACCTACGGTAATAGCTTATTCCCTATGTGGGAAATTCGCTAAAATCTAGATCGTCAAGAAACAGTTTAACACAACTTGCTTATATGGGAGGGGGGGGGGGGCTAAGATGACATCTAACTTCCGTCATCCAACCGAGTTAGCGAGTTCCAGAGTTAGCCAATTCCTACGTCCCTTTCTAAATTATATATTTTGAATATCGTTGTTACAGGTCGAGAACAAAGAAGAAAAGTTGACAAATGAAAATAATGAGGTTTTAAAACCTGAACAGGAGCAGAACAGCATGGAAGTTCCTGTTCATCATAGTCCCACTGTAGAACAAAATCATGATCCAAATGAAGAAGATGAAGAAGTAACAGTTGTCGACAAGGAAGATGAAATTAGTAAATCATCTCAAAGATCCAGAGCTCCAGATATGCCTGTACTGACAGAAGACGTGCCTGATGATTCTTGTTGTAGGATGGAAGATGATAGCAAAAAGGAACATGATAGCCTTCAACAAATTGACAGCGTGAAATGCCGACCTGGTGAATCTGAGACAACAACGAAAGAAGATAAAAGTGCACAATCAGAACCCATGGTAGATCTGACACAAGGAGACGAATCAATGCATGAGTTTGACCGTAAATCAGATAAACCGGAAGGAGAGAAGTGCAAGCAATATGACAGGTACATTCCACCTCCCAATGACAGTTACTATAAACAAGAGAGAAATGAAAAGAAAAGAAGTCATGAACCTGAATATCCAAAGAAGAGTTATGATGAACAAAAGAGAAATACTGAAATTGAACTTCAGAAGAGACACTATGAAGCAGAATATCAGAGGAAGAGTTATGAAGATTACCAAAAAAGGATGAGTGACCTAGAAAACCTGAAAAGAATAAATGATTTAGAGAATCTCAAAAGAATCAACGATCTAGAAAATATTAAAAGAATGAATGACTTTGAGAACATAAAAAGAATGAACGATCTAGAAAACATGAAAAGAAATCATGACCAAGACTATCAACGCAGATTCTATGAACAGCAGGAGTATGCAAAGCGAAACTACAATTCGGACTATCATAAAAAGTATGAGCAGATGGAAATAGACAATTGTAAAAGAGAAAGTGGAAATAGGGAAAGTCCCAATAAAACCAGGCATTCTCCAAAGCCAGAGGAAAGAGAGCATAAGAGAAGCAAGCAAGAAAGAGATCTCAAAATCAATACAGTATCTCCTGCTCCTCCAAATAAAATTCCCGACAAATCACCACCACCTATTGTGGTTGTCGATGACACAGAGCGAAGTACAAATTCAGAAGATAAAAAAGTGGAAGTGGATGTTGCTAGTGGAAATACAACTCCCAGATTGGACCACAGTGTCGAAGGTCAACAACCCGCAACACCAATCAATCCTGGGTCTGTTAAACAAACTCCTCCACAGCCGGAGATCCCAAGTATGGGAGTTTACACTCCAGACTCTACCACAAACTCAGTACATTCTCTTCACGGCTACGGTCAGTGTGACTTGGATGTCAGTCAGCTGGGACTAGAATCTCCCACAAGTATATCGTCCAATGACATGCCACCATCCGTCGGGGCACCTGAGCCACCGAGACCTCCCTCGTCCCAGGCCTACACAGACTGTGCCCAACAAGGTGGACACCCAGTGTTCCATCATCATCACGTCACGTCTTCTCCTCAGCACTGTCCACCCTCACTACCGCAGTATCAAACTGCCCCGTCCAAACAGTCAAGCAGCCGTAGCAAGTCCTCCCAGAGTGTAAGTCAACACCACTCTCGTAACAGATCTACACCCCCTGCTCCCTCCCCAGCCCTCCACAGATCTACCCCACCACAGCAAACATCTCGACACCACCAACAGAGCTACTCCCATCACCACCCCCATCACTCAGTAGTGTCTCAACCCAACTACATTGTACCTCAGATGCAGACAGGCGCCTATGTTCCTATGACGACGGTGATCCAACACCGGATGACCCCAGGTTCTCAACCGTCTCCCAGTCAGAGAGTCAGTTCTACACCGACATGCTCAGTCGCAGGTCCCACAAACTTCTACATCCAGAACATCCAGCCGGCAATGCATCCCCACACACACACTCCAACACCGAGCACCACCTGCTCAGGGGTGCCTCAAACTACCCAAGGTACTCCTTCTTGCAGCCTAGCCAAGCTGCAGCAACTTACCAATGGTTTGGATATGGTCCCTCCTGGCCACTGCGCAAATATGACTCCTCCTCCTCCCATGAACCTCACTCCTCCACCCACCTCCCATCCGACAATGACCCCTCCTCCGTCTGCTCATCAGATGCTGCAGCAGTCCAACCTGGCAGCGAGCTACCACAAGTTCTACCCTGGTAACATGCCTCCGTCTAGTGGCCGCAGCTCCAGTCGGTCCTCCGGTGTCCAGATGCCTCCCACGAGTAGTTCATCCCGTCCCGGTGTTTCACCCAACGTCACACTCAACCCCAACCTGATGGGCAGCTCCATGTACCAGTTCAATGGCTACCGCATGGCCGGACAACAGAGCCCGGCTACTGTAACCGGTTATATCACAAACACTGGATTCATCAACCAGGGTCAGATACCAGTACAGATGGGAGTGATGAACATGGCTCAAAGTCAATACGCACAGGACCCTGCCGCCATACAACAGAACAATATTTATACTTACGGCTACATCAACAGCAACCTTATCAATGGCACTTTGAGGCGTTAAATCATCCTAAGTTGTAAAGGGGACCAATTTTTATTTGTCCTAAATTTGTCTTTCATTGTGATTACAACAATTTTGGTGGTCAAAGAAAAAAATAATCAACTAAAAATTTGAATTCAATTTGATTTCACATTTTGGTAAAATTTGTGACAAAATTAAATTAGGTTTTTATAATACCATTGAATCTTTGAAGTTAAATGTTGCTCCAACATGTATGTACATTATTACCGATTTAATGTTTTATATTTGTTGATTTAATGTCTCAGCCTTATAAATGGATAATGTTAAGTCACTTATTGTTAGTGTTGCTCGTTATTACAGGGTTAATATGTTATTAGTAAATGTTCTTGTTAACTGATGTTCAATTAACTTATACATTGTAAAGTTTAAGTTACATGTTTTTTTTTAGTTGCACACATCTTTCTCCTGGTTATTTTTTTACTGGTTTATTTTGTATTAGATATATTTTGTATACTTGTGATTTATTAACTTAAGTCTTAATTGTGTGGTCTCTGCAGTTTCAATGTATAATTTAATTAAAATTTATTTTTGTAACCCTTTTTAACATTTGTTTAATTTTATTTTCAGAGCCGTTTTCATTATGGTTTGTTGTGTAATCACACATTTGATTAAGTGTTGTACATTGCATTGCACTTCATTGATTTACTTTAGGGAGTTTTCCAATTTTTTCTTATAGAACCATGGATATTGAGCAGTTGATGAACTCTTCAATTATTTTTTTTCTTGTTACTTTTTATAGTATTGCAATCTTGTTACTTTTTTTAGTATTGCAAACCCAAAGGATTTTTTTACAGGGGACCGATCCAAATTAATAATTTAATGAGTCAGATTTTCACAAGATCACTGTAATGTTCAGAGTTGCATGATAATGGTACAATCCAGATAATGATAAAACAATTAAATGAGCTCAGAGACGCGTTGACTTTTTTACAAAGTTTGACTCTGTCTTATAGTGTTTATACTAACTATTTGATTGTTAGGTTTTGGTGTTGCGAGATGTTTAAGATAGTGTTGACATACATCACAGTACTCTGTAAATACTTTATATTCCAGCACTGTGTCATGTATTATAGTAGTTTAGGAGAAAGTGATTTATTTTTGTCACTCAAATATCAGTACAACTCAGTGTATGTAATAGGCTAATCTCTCTCTTCTATATTATTTATTTTTATAATAAGCAGTCTGTAATTTTTAAGTTTTCTATTTGCATGTACGGCAGCTAAAAGCTTAATTTACTTTTAAAATGCGTTGAGTATTCTTGTGTAACTTTTCCTCTTCAAAACTAACTCGGAGAAGAACTGTCCAAATTGAATAGCAGTCTATAGTTTGGGTCAGTAAATGTGATAAATATTCTAGAATGAAAGATTGTTCGGTTTAATCTTGATAATAGAATTTGTAAAACCACTAAGAGATGGTTATAGTCAAAAGTATGATAATGTAAATATATGTTTTTGTGATGTAAGAATAAAAATGGTCTGTTGTTTTTAATATAATTCTATGTTAAGTCTGTGTAATTATAATTCTGGTCTTTGTTACTGTAAGATCAATTTTGTAGAAAAGTATTATTTTTAGTATAATTTAAATTTGATGAGTTTTATATGTAATTTATCTTAAAATTCTTGCTGTATATAGAAAAGCTAAATTATACAATGTTATTACACATATTGAGACATTTTTATTTTCTTGTTCTCATGTTAAGTCTATCTATGGACGAAACAGAAATGTAAAACTTTATACCATCTGCAACCCCTGATTTGTTGCTAATAAATAAGTTAGACCTAAACAAAACGGGGCCAAGATGGGATCCTTGGGGTATTCCAGAAATTGTGACTGTTTCTCTAGCGGTAGAAAAGGAGAATTTCATCTAGAGTTTTCGTCATGAAGATAAGAGGAGAACCGTCTTAGCCGTAAGCTGTGTATTCCACAAGCAGACAGCTCATAGATGAGATTACTGGTGACCACTTTATCCCCAAAAGTGTTGGCAATATTGTTTCGATCGACCAATCGGTTGTCTTGTCAAGCCTATCAGCCCATGTTGTAACTTGTATTTGCTATCGATTAAACACACAATAATAAGACTGAGGAAAATAAACAAAGATGATTGATTAATATGTAATGCAATACTAGTCGGGAGTCTTGGTCTACTTTTCTTCTATATTAATCACACTAATATTATAGGTTTGAAGAGAAAGGGCTTATGGCCTGAAAATAGGGGAGAGAAAGGATAGGATAAGCAGGCTTACCTTAAGAAATGTAGGCATCCCACTTCATTCATTACAGAACACAGAAGAAAACACAAAATAAAATAAACACTGGATATTTCGAGGCCACTGGCCCCTTCCTCAACATGGAGAGTCACATTAGATATTTGCTCAAAATATCTAATGTGACTCTACATTTAGACTCTAGGCCTATTTAATACAAAGAAATAATCACAACTGATTTTAATAAGGTAATGAATTAAGTACAGGTGGTGTATTTTAACATTAGGTATATGGAAAGTTCCCTTTAGAAAGGAAATACTGTACCGCAAGGTTTCTCGTCATGACAGAACATTAAAGGCGGTGACACACTATCGATCTTTTCCCCGAACCGAGAAGGGAGGTAAATACAAGCATAGATATAGATAAAACCGGACTAATTTTATCTATGATACAAGCAAAATTTCAATCCGAACGAGACCAAGACCAGACAAGTTCTAAGTTCAGTTCTACCGAGCGCGGCAAAGGGAGTTTAGAGAGAGATTGAGAGCGTGTAATCCTCAGAGAAAAGGTTTATAATTACCTGTAAGTTTGTTACTGGGATAAACAGCCACCCCACCAGTAGCTGACTACCTGCAGCGGTATTCTGCTAGTTTTAAATTACTAATTGTATTGTAAAACTGAATGTCATCAGCCAATGCTCACAAATACACAAAATATCAATGTTCTTCATCTCAAGGCTTAAAATGTTGATTTTATTAGTTTTATTTCGCATGCACTGAATATTTATTGTTCAAAGATTTATCATACTACTCTTTTGAGTACTTTTATCATAGTACTCTTTTGAGCTATGAATGATTTTCCCTTAAAAAAGTTTGAGAAGGGAAAACCCAGTCCTAGGAGTATTTTGTCTTTCAATTAACTCCCTTACAAGAGTATTAAGTATTAAGAATGTATTTAGGCCAAAAAGTATGTGACAACACTACTTAAAGGCCTATTTTGCTTGGAGCGATTGCAGCGATAGTCGCGTAGCGATAATCGCTCCGCGATAGCAGCCGGGCACTGCTCTGACGGAGTTTGCGTGTTGTCCTGTTTTGCTTGGAGCGACTATCGCAAGAGCCGCTAGCTACAGTCGCGGACCACTGCCCCGGGGACCAGTCTGAGCGATAATCGCGCCGCGACTGATGCGCAGCGACTGTGCGCAGAACCTCAAAACAGTACAGTTCACTCAGTAGGCACATGTTAGTGGTTAAATTAACCATAATTTAATGTTCTCATTTTTCTATTCATGTTGTGCTGTTACGATTGTACTGTTTTGGTTATATTTCCTTACACATTCATTTCATTTTCTACATTAAATTTTAGAAGAAACAGGCGACTCTTTCTTTCCAGCAAACTTGCATTGTCATTGCTCAAATGTTTGTGTTTAAATTTGTTAAGGTAATCCACGTCTATTCAAATTGAAATATAAAACGCTTGACTGTTCCAAGTTGTTATGTGTTATTTACGTATTGTGTGTGTTAATACTGTGTCAGTTTTTGTATGAATACATTTTTTTTACTCCAGGGCCGATTTTCCGACATCCATTAACTCTTATTGATATTACTATTTTTTTATTTATATAAATATATTTTTTCATTGATATCACTACAGTTTTCTATTTACATCCTATCTAGTGACTTCTAGTGATACGTATCCGTCCCAAATCCTACGTATCACTATGCATTTTCTATCGATCGTCCATTGATACTTCCACTAGGGTCGAGTAGAGCCTCGTCTCCTAACTCCTCACTGATGAGATACTTTAATACATAGGAGATAACTTACAACACGCACTCATGAATTCACCATTGTGAGTGCTGGTATTTAACTAACTATGAAAAATCGCGTGGCGACCGAAAATCAATCGCTCTAAGCAAAACGGTCACCGTATCAGCGATAGTAGTTGAGCGATAATCGCTGTGCTACTATCGCTACAGTCGCTCCAAGCAAAATAGGCCTTAAGATGCTTACGTGACGTAGGAAGTTGTAAAGGCGAGTTGTTCGGAGTGTGGGATCTGTTTATGACCAATAGATTAAGGTATTTGCAATCCAATAATGCTAAGGGAAGGGAGGGATACAGGTCCGAGACGTAGGAAGTGGTAAAGGCGAGCTGTCCGGAGTGTGGGAACTGTTTATGACGATTAGATTAAGGTATAGCAATCCTATAATACTATATGGAAAGGGAGGGAAACAGGTACGTGACGTAAGAAGAGGTTAAGGAAATAGTTAAGGAGTAGGAAGCATGCCCACGACATAGAAAATGGTGAAAGAAGTAGTAAAGGCTAGCAGTGCAGAGTGTGGGCAATGTTTGTGGCAAATTAGATCAACGAATCTAAAATACTAAAATGCTATGAAAAGTGATGAAAACAGGTCAACGATGTAGGGAGTGGCTTAGGAAGTAGTGTATGAGCATAGTGTCAGAACCGTCTTTGGCATTTAGATTGTATCTTCAATCCTAAAATGCTATGAGAAGGGAAGGAAACAGGCCCCACGACGTAGGAAGTGGTGAAGAAAGTAGTAAAGGCTGGCAGTGCAGAGTGGGGGGACCGTTTGGGCAGTTAGATAAATGTGTCTAATACAGTACTTAAATGCTATGAGAAGGGAAGGAAACAAGGTCTATGACGTAGGAAATGGTGAAGGAAGTAGTAAGGCTTGCAGTGCAGAATGTGGGAACTGGGAACTGTCTTCGGCAATTACATTATAAATGTATCTGCAATCCTAAAATGCTTTGGGAGGAGAGGGAAACAGGTCCACGACGTAGGGAGTGGCGAAGGAAGTAGTAAAGGTGAGCAGCGTTGAGTGTGGGAATGGATTAATGTATCTGCATCTTACATCTTACATCTTACATACGTCCTCTTCATCGCAGTCGTAGAGACTAGAGAATCGTCATTTACTACTTTCTCACTTCTTATAGTAGCCCTATGTAGTAGTTGTGGTCTTCATAGAACTCCTTGATGGTGTAGTATGGTCTTTGAAGGAGGTAGTTTTTTAGTGCAGCAGTGAATTTTTTTGTGTTATTTATTGTTTTGAGATGTTGTGGAAGTAGGTTGTAGAGTTTTGCTCCCATTGCAGTAGGGGTTTTGTTGGTTTTATTTAGTCTGTTTTGTTGGGTGTTATAGTTTGATTTTGATCTGGTGTTGTGGTTGTGGCATGTTTGTCTGGTTTCAGGCGGATTTTGTTTTATGAAATTGATGGTGTTAAATATGTATTGGGAGGTTAGGGTTAGGATTTGGTGTTTTATGAAAAGGGGCTTGCAGTGTTCAAGGTAGTGGGATTGGTCTATGATTCTGGCTGCTTTCTTTTGAATGATTTGAATTTCTTTTAATAGGCTTTCGCTGGCACTTCCCCATGCAATTAGGCCAAATTTCAGGTGTGAAGCGAAGATTCCATGGTAAGCCATCTTGGTGGTTTCTTCGTTAGTGATTTCCCTGAGTCTTCTAAGGGCATAGATAGCTGATGTCCTGATGAGAGTCTTCGCTGGAGCCCTTCCAAGTGGGGGTGCCAGTTTAGTTGCTGGTCAAGAATGATGCCGAGGAATTTGGTTGTGGGGTTGGCATTTGTTGTGTCTTCTTGGGTTGAAGGATTGTTTGTTGGTGTGAATTTGGTTTGTTGGTTTGAATTGGTGTGATTTTTTTTGCAATGCTAAAATGCTATGGGAAGAGACTGTAGACTGTAGGTTAAAATGATTACGAAGCACGAATCGATGCATATTTCGATACATGCAATCGGTTACAATAGAAATTTTCAACTGAGTCGACAACAGCTGATTTATTTTACTCCATAGAGGCTAAAAACGATTTTTACTCCCTAAAGAGTAAAAATGCTACTTTATGCCCGCAATGCATGCATTAAAAACGACTGTTTTTACTGCAGTTTGAAAAAAAAACAATATAATATGAACCCTTGATGACTCCGCTCAATTTTGTGGATGCCTCTGCGAACGCCACCAAGTCTTATTTGGTGAAATATATCAAATTGTGTAGGCTTTCTCGATTTTTTCATTTTTAATATGTACGCAAACCCAAGTTTAAATAGTAAATATTTAATTTCCACCAAATCAGTAAGTCTTTACACTGAATTGCAAAATTAAATTTTAACAGCAATTGAAACATCCAGCTGATCATAATGTAAACAAGGACGTTGACGTTTTGACAGAAGACGACAGTGATAACAACAGCAATTTTACGAGTGCAGTCAGTGCAGTGCCATGGTGGAAGGAAAAAACCAATGTTTTTTCCTTCCACCATGGTGCAGTGCAGTTCGGATGTTCCGTGTTCCGTTCCGATACCAATTCTGCTGTCCCGGGCGCGGTGGTGGGGGGCCGGGGTCCTCCATGAACAGTCTCGTGGTGGTCCCTCGTCCCTTGTTTCACGATCGTGAAGACAGCTATCGCCAGCTGTCGACCCTACA